TCTTCAGATTGTACCAAGATGGCTGCTACAGTTTCTCACCACAACCACAGCACAGGAAGAAAAGAGAACACTTGCATGCCAGCCTTTCAAGCAAGGGGACTGAGATTCACTCTGATTAGAATATTGTTATATGCTTATCCCTGAACCCATGACTATTACAAGGGGAATAGAATGAAAGATATGTATTTTTTAAGATTTTATTTATTTATTTGAGAGCGAGTCAGTGGGAGGGAGAGGGAGAGGTAATCTGAGGCAGACTCCACACTGAGCATAGAGCCCGACATGGGGCTCAATCCCAAGACCGCAAGATCATGACCTGAGCTGAAACCAAGAGTTGGATGCTCAGCCGGCTGAGCCATCCAGGTGCCCCAGAATGAAAGATATTGATTGTCTTAAGCCAACTCCAGAGCTTGAAGTTGAGCCTGGGGCAGCTTCCCTCCTAGGAACATGAATATATGTTAGGAAGAAAAAAGGAGCACATGAGGATGAGTAAGCAACTAGAAAAATTGATTGCCTCATATCCAGCTCAGAAATATTGAAAAAGTTTTTCAGGAGTTATGAAAGCCATCCATGGAGGAAAAATTAATGTGGAGCAAGAGCAGATTGGTAGTCCTTCCAGCATTAGCTCTCAGGACCTGTTAACCTGCTGACTCTAGAACTTTCATCCATACCTCGTTGCTTTTGTGGCAGCATCTCAGCAAACACATTTTTCTTTGAAGTATAGTATATTTATAATCAAGATACACCATTTCATTCATTTAAATATTTACTGAGACCCACTTCATGTCTTTTAGGCAAAGGGAAGAGTGTGGGCAAAAGAAAGCATGTATGAGGGGAAAATGATAAACTTCTGGTATAAATAGTTTGATGTCTCTGGAGCATAGCCTGTGAAGGAGTGATAGGAGAGAAGCTGGAAAAGTAGAATGGGATCAGATCATAAAAGTCTTTGGCTGGGCAGTTCTTGTTTCAGCTTAGTTACTGAGGTAACACACAGACAATAAAGCGCATTAAGCTTAAGCCAACATCTTAGTGAATTTTTACATATGTATATACATCCATATAATCACCACCCAGATCAATACCTAAAACATTTCTAGCATTCCAGAAGTTTCCTTCATGCCTTTCCCAATCAGTCCCCATCCCCAGCGGGAACACTGTTCTGGCCTCAGTTGCTATTAATTAGTTCTGTCTGTTCTTAACCTTCATAGAAGTGGACTTATACAATTTGTACCCTTTTGTATCTGGCTTCTTTTACTCATTGTAATGATCACGAGATGTCTCTGTATTGTGGAACTTATGAGACTTTGTTCATTTTCGGGCTCCATAGTATTCCATTGAACGAAAATCCAGCAACTTGTTTATGCAATTTCTAGTTGACAGCCATTTGGGTTATTTCCAGTTTTGTGCTAGTGTAACTATAGCTGTTGTGAACATTCTCATACATGTCTTTTGGTGAACATATGTACTCATTTCTCTTGGGTATATACCCAGAAGTGGGTAGGCACATTTTTGTTTTAGTAGTACTTCCCAACAGTTCTCCAGAGTGGCTGTATCAAGGGAGTTTTGACTTTCGCCTGAGGAAGGCTGGGAGCAGTGTGATGAAATTTTTATTTTAGTCCGGCAGCCACTGTGAAAGATGCACTGAAGGGGCGCCTGGGTGGCTCAGATGGTTAAGCGTCTGCCTTCAGCTCAGGTCATGAACCCAGGGTCCTGGGATCGGGTCCCGCATCGGGCTCCCCGCTCAGAGGGGATCCTGCTTCTCCCTCTGCCTCTCTCTCTCTCTCTGTCTCTCATGAATAAATAAATAAAAAAAAATCTTAAAAAAAAAAAGAAAGAAAGATGCACTGAAGGCGGGTGAGGTTGGAGACAGAGATACCAGTAAAGAATCGCAGACCAGGAGCAGTAGACCAGGTGAGGGATGATGAGGCCTTGAGCTCTGAAAGCTTGTATGGAGGGAGAGGATGGCTTTGAGAGATAAGGTAGAGTTGACATGATTGGTTGTAGTAGGGAGAGAATGGAATCCAGAATGACTGCCAGGTGTCTGACTTGGTGTTGGCAGAATGGTGGTGCCCTTTTCGGAGAGAGGAAGCACTTGGGAAGGAGCAGCCTTGAGGGAGAAGATGAGCTCCTTTGAACACCTTGAATCTGAGAGAACTGTGCAAGATCAAGGTGGAGGTATCCAGCAGGTAACTGGACACATAGACCTGAAGCTATGGGGAGAGATCCAAGCTGGAGATTTCTATTATGGAAGCAAGGGAATGAGTGACCCATCAGGGAGGAAGGAGGTGTAGAAAGAGGAACCCAAGGAGATGACTGAGAAGGCATTTCCTGAGAGGTAGGAGGAAAACTAGGAGCTCGCCTGCTGTGATGAAAATCCAGGGGACAGACAGTTTCCAAAAAGAGTTTCCAAAGGCTGCTGAGGAGTGAAAAAAGATGGGCACTGAAAGGTGTCTGGTGAATGCAGAGTTTAACCTAGCCGTCCATGGTGCGGAGGCACCCAGGGTCTTCTGCCTCCACAGTCTCTCTCTTGTGCCTGAAGCCTACACCAGTGTGGTGGGGCTGTTTGGGCTCTCTTCCCCCTCAGGTCTTGAGCCTGAAGCAAAGGAGAGCGAGAGGAAGAGGCAGATTGAGCCTCAGTCCAGGGACAGTGGCTGTGGCCTCTCAGAGAAGTTTGTGGGGACCTCAGCTGGACAATAGAAGGCAGACGGCAGCTAGTGCAGGGCCCACTGAGTCCCTCCCGACATTGGAACACCGAAAACATGGACATTTGAATATAAACTTCCCCTGGAGCCTTTCCCCTATGGAAACTTCCAGTTGTAAACTATACTGACTTTAATCTGAAGTGTCAGAAAGGTTGCTCAGGAGTCTGGGAGCCAACCAGCTGAAAGCACATTTGTATGGAAGTCGGGGCAAACAAAATAGAATTCAGAACATTTTTTGAGATTTGTGCCAGTGGTGAACTTTTCCAGGAAACATGACAAAAACTGACCCTCTTAGGCAAAAAAGCACTGGGTCTTATCATAATTAATTTGTATTTTAACTGAAACATAAACTTGGGGAAAAGATGAAGGGAAAGAACAGCACATGTCTTATTTCTTTACCAGGCACCAGGGGCTGGAGGAGGCTCCCGTAGAATTTAATGGGCAGCTTTATGTATTTATATGCTTTGACTGGAGCTAAAGAGGTCTGTGCCACACAATGGGCAGTTTCTAGTTGGATTTTAAAAGAAAATAACTTTGATCATTTCAAAAGCAATGAAGCCTGATGCAGCACAGAGAAAAGAAAGCGGTAATTTATGGCTACCATTAAGGACACAAAGACAAAGGCGGAGGGAACGTTTCACTAAGTGAAGATTTACAAATGTGTAAAAACCATCCTTATGACTAGAAATAGCTGAGTGTCTCTCTCGGTACCAAACAAAAGGGGGTAGGAGGGAGGGGCAAAAGACAGAAAAAGGGATGCAACCTGCCTGCCTTCACTGGGGATGAAAAGGTCAAAAGAAAAACAACCACAGAAAAGTTATTTTCTTAGATTCTCCATCCAGCAGCAGCACTAGCAATGAAGGCCCAAAGAGGCATTCTTCGCCTAGGCCCGTGGGCATGGGAAAGACAGGGGCAGCAGATGGGGGGCGGGGTGTGTGTGCTACAAAGAGGGGTGCTCTGGAAAGGGGATGGACCCTAGGAAGACATGTTCTTGTGCATGAGCTAGGTGGGTATTTTCTGAGATGGTTATTTTTTTTCTGATTACCAAAGGTGTGTGTGTGTGTGTGTGTGTGTGTATTCACTATTCATATATATTCATTATTAAATTTTCTCCTGTAAATATATACACACATACACAAACGTGTGTTTGTATGTATGTATGTATATATATGTATGCATAGGAGAAAATGTAGAAAATAAAGAGAAACTCTGATTAAAACCCCTCAGTATGGTGTTCAACAGCCCCATCTCGGAATCGTTGCTGCATTTGTTCCTGGGGTGGTGCCGAGTGTAGTGGGCTCCATCATCAGTGGCAAGGGGAGGTATGGGAAGTCTCCATATGCATATGTGCCCTTGTAAGGACTGTCTTGCTTGGACGGCCAGCTGACAGGCGCTGCCTGTATTTGCAGCTGGCCAGACCTGATGTTTATGAGTTCAGGTGGTCATAGATACCACCCGTGACCCAGGCAAAACTGGTGTGGTGTCTTGTCCCTGCTGGCTCACCTTTGACTGCTAGCCCCCTTTCCCTTCACCTTCTAGGCTGCCCTGTAGATACATTTAACTAGTGTTGAGTGAGATGAACATTTTCTGCTGTGATTCTAGGCCCAGCAGTGTACCAGGGAGGAACAGTCCTAAGCATGCGGGGTGGTGGGACAGGTGGTTGGGCCACTGCTTGGGGCTGGAGATCACAGAAGGCCTGGCCTGGGCAGCATGGAGAAAGGTGCAGAGCGCATGTGAAGGTGAGCAGCAAACGATGTTGCCCTCTCCCCAGAGTCTCCTGAGGGTCAGAAGTGTGTGGAATTGCTCCCTCCAACCACATTGCCCGTCCCAAGTGGAGAGGTGGGAAAGCCCCACAGGTGGCTTTAGGGTTTGGGGCTTATAGGATTCTGAACTACACGGGACACTTTCTGGGAGCCTCCTCTTGGAATATTTCAGGCCAGAGTGCTATTTATCCCACAAGAGGGACTGGGTCAAGTTGTAGGACACTGCAAACAGGCGGAGCACGAGGCTCTGGGGGCTGGAGCGGGGCGGGGGTGCGGAAACAGCGGGTCTGGTGACGGGGCCTGCACTGGGGACGCGGGCCCGCCAGGCCAAGCTGACAGCCGCCCTCCGGCCACCGCGGCCGCGCCCCCTCCGCCCAGCGCCCGGAGGGGGAAGGGAGGGGGCCGGGAGGGGCGGCACTGCCCCGCGCTGCCCGCCCCGGCCCCGGGGAGGACCGTGTGAAAATGAGGCCGGGGCTCGGGGGCCGGGCGGGGCCGGGCCGGGGGTGTCAGAGCGCGGCGGGTAGGGCACCCGCACACACCTCCCGGAGCCGCCGCCGCGCTCGCCGTCTCTGCCAGCAGCCGCCGCGCCATCCATGGGGGTCTTGGGCCGCGGCTGCCCCGGGACGGTCCGGGCGCTGCTGCCGCTGCTGCTGCCGCCGCTGCTGCTGACCGCGGCCGTCCCGCCCGGCCCGGGCCGCGCCCCGGGGCCGCCAGAGGGTGAGTGCCCGCACCTCCGGGGCCTCGGCGCGCACCTGGCAGTGGCGGGCGGGGCCGACGCCGGGACGGGGTCCTGGGTCCTCCCTCCTCATCCCCCCGCGGGGTCGCGCCGCGCGGGGCGGGCCGGGCCAGGGCTTGGCAGCGGGAGCTCCGCGTGGTCCCCGCTCCCCTGGGGCCTCACCCGCTGGCCAGGCCAAGGCGCCACCACCGCTTGGGCTAGAGGCCCAGGGCCTGAGTGCCGCGGCCGGGCCTCGGACCCGGGGCTGATGACAGTTCCCGCCCCGGTCCCGCTGCCCGGGGTCCCCGGAGAGCGCCTGCTGGGCAGACTCTCGCCCGCTGAGAAGGACCGAGGGCACCCGACTCTCGGCGGTCCAGCTCCTCATGTGTGTAGATGGGGAACCTGAGGGTCCCGGCCGCGGTACCTCCGTGAGGTCGCGACAGCTTTGCTCCGTCTTTCTTCCCGAGCCGGGAAGTTCTGCGGGCTTCAGGGGTGGCTCCAAGTTTTCTATCTGCGAAACAGGCGCGGGTTGAGGATCCGGGAATACCGTGAGCCTTAAGCCGCAACAAACCTGGGTTTTCTCGGCGGCCAGAGATAAGTACCCTGGACGTTGTGCGTTAACTGGACTTGCAGTAATTTCAAAAACTTTTGTTTTTAATTAACATCCTAGAGTGGTGTCAACGCAGGAAATACTTCAGGCCAAGGCCGGTTTCCAGGTTGAGAGGGCGGGCAGCGGGTGTGTAAACCATTCCCACTCTGCACCATCTGAGAGCTCAGGATGGTGTGCTCAGAGCCCAGGGCAAGCTTTTCCTGTATATCTCAAGCCCCGAGAAAGCTGACACTGCTTGGTTTTCAGGTTTTGCTTTTTTCGTTTTGTTTCGTTTTTGCCAACCTGGTCTTTTCCTTCAACAGGCATTTATTACTGCCTACTCATGTGCCAGGCACTGTGCTTGGCATAAAGGGCACAGAGTCTGTAATCAAGACACCATCTAGAGGGGAGGACCGGCAGGAAAACAGTGACAGTCCTGTGTGATATGTGCTATGAAAGGAGATAAATATGGCAGCGGGTTGTGGGGGACACTACCTCCACTGGGGGATCACAATAGGCTCCCTGGAGAAGGTAGATTGGAGCTGAGTCTTGCAGGCGAGTAGAAAGGGTGTGTGGTGGGTAGTCTAGTGAGAGGGAACAGAAGCCTGGAAGTGGAGTGGTTCATCCCAGGGGCTCCTGAGGAGTTTAGGTGATGAGGAGTGGGGTGGGCTGGTGGGAGATGAAGCTAGAGGAGGGCCGACGCCAGATCTCAAAGGGCTTGGGGGCATGGTACCAGGAGTTTGCTGTGCTCTTTTGCAGATGTGGACGAGTGCGCCCAAGGGCTAGATGACTGCCACACCAATGCCCTGTGTCAGAATACACTCACCTCCTACAAGTGCTCCTGCAAGCCTGGCTACCAAGGGGAGGGCAGGCAGTGTGAGGGTAAGTGACTTGGGGCTGGTGGTAAGTGGGCCAGCAGGTGAAGCTCCCCACCCCCTCAGCTCTTGTGGCCACTCATGCTGGTAAAAGTGCCCCTCCACTGCCCTCCACGTCATACCACCCACCTTCTGAAATACATTTCAGAGCCTTAGAGCACTAGGAACATTAGGTCTTCCCTAAAGCTGATCATATAGTTTTATGTGGTTCCAAAATGTCCTTTTGTCTAGCTTGTGTAAAGGACAAGAGGTGCTTTAGTATTTTTGGTCCCACTCAGTTTGGGGACAGAAAGTCAACAGTCATATGGATCAGGAGAGCCATGCCTGCCAGAGAAGGGCTGATCCTTCACTTCCCTGGGGCAGTTTACACCTGTGCCCTGGAGTCCGAGGGCAGGAGTCCTGCCCTCCACTGCTGGCTCTGGAGGGTCCATCTTGTTCATGGCTTTGGGCTGTTTGGCGTTGTGACCTCCCAAGCTTTAGAGCTATACCAAGAGCCTGCCTCATTTGGAGCTGCATGCTCACCCTGGAAAGGTGTGCAAAGGGATATTTTAAGCCCTTAGAGTTCTAGATCTTTGAGCCTAAAGTCTGGACTCTGCCATCTTGTGTTCTGGGCCAGTGTCATGAACTCTGAAATTCAGAACTGGCCAGAGACTGGGCACTCATAGGAGAAGGCTATTCCTAGGGATGGAATCATGGCATGTTGGAGCTGGCAGGGCTCTTCTCTTTCAGGGAGCTCTGAGCCATTCCCATCCTTCATATGTGAGACACTGAGGCCCGGGGGAATTGGGAAGGGGACTTGTGGCCATAATCACACAGCTAACCAACAGGTTGAAGAAAGTCAGATGTCTACCCTAGCTTTGTCCCTGGACCCTTATCTCTTGGATTCACTCAGCCTCCTAGTGTCCTGCTTTGGTGGGTGAGAAATCCTGATATTTATATTTTCCTTTGTGCGTGAAGAGCAAAACTTGCTTCTCCTATCAGAGGAGACATGCTCCTGGTCAAGTTCATAGCCAGTGGGGTTGGTAGTCCATCCTTAAAGCCCTCATGTTTCTCTAAGATCATGTTCTCCCAGAGACAGGCAGCTGTCTCTCTCTGTCTTACATCATGGGAGGCCAAAAGGCTACCTCTCCCTGAAACATCTCTCTGCCCATTCCTCTGTACCACATTCTCACTACTTACAGAATGGGAACTCACACATGTTCATACCCTGCTTGGGAAAAAATGTTTACTTTTTCACTGGTTTTCTGTATACTGTCTGAGATTGGGGTGGGGCAGAAACTTTGCCATGGTTTCTTTGAGATAGAGTACATATTTAGCAAATGATATAGAATGACAGGTGGCAAGAATTTCCTTATTCTTAGCTGTTGGGCTTGACATATGACACATGAAATTGAATTGCTGACAGTTTATCCTGGAAAAGTCTACTATTTTATTTATTTATTTGTTTTTATTTATTTTTATTTTAAAGATTTTATTTATTTATTTGAGAGAGAGAGAATGAGAGATAGAGAGCACGAGAGGGAAGAGGGTCAGAGGGAGCAGCAGACCCCCCGCCGAGCAGGGAGCCCGATGCGGGACTCGATCCCGGAACTCTAGGATCATGACCTGAGCTGAAGGCAGTCGCCCAACCAACTGAGCCACCCAGGCGCCCGAAAGGTCTACTATTTAGTTTAAAATAACTAATGAATGACTGGAGTTGTTGCTTTTATATATTTAAATTGGCTTTAAAATAATAATATATATTGTTACTATAAAAAGTCAAACAATACAGAAAATGTATGAAATAGAAAATTAAAGACCCTCTTATTCCTTTATCCACAGGTAATCACTGTAAACAGGGAGCATATATTCGTTGTAGTGTCATTGAAAACTAAAACTCCAGAGGGATATGATCTTTTACATACTTGTAATACTTTTGAATACCTATAAAGCTAGTGAGTAAGGATGTCCCTGTTTAGTTCGGATTTCTTGGTGCCAGAGTTGAGAAGCAGAAACAGTCTTCCAAGAAGGAAAAGGAGAGAAAATGAAGATTGCAAGGATTCAAAGATGTAGATATTTGAAGATGTGACTCTTTTATGTGTGTTCCTTGGCTTACTGGTTTAAACCTCTTGGGTCCAACCCCTGGTATCGTTTCTGTTGTGTTTATCGTCAGCTTCGCTGCTGCTGTTTAAGTATAAGGATGGGAACTGGGTTTGCCCAGAGTGACCAGAATTTTATCCTCTTTAGTTTCTTCTGCCAAATTATTGGAGAAATGAAAATATGGGCCCTGAATAAGTATTTTGAAAATAATATGATTCCAAAGTGGCTTTGAAGAAATGAAGTTTCATTCTAAATGATCTTTGTTTATATCCCAGACTTTGGGGATGGGGCATTTCAGTGGTCAGTGTTCATTGTATGGTTCTTACTTCTCAGTCTAGGGAATTGAATCAAATTTAACAAGGATGACTCTAAACTTGGCCTTTGTATTGAGGAGCTGTGTGTGTGTGTTTTTTTTTTTTTTTAAGATTTTATTATTTATTTGACAGAGAGAGACAGAGCAAGAGAAGGAACACAAGCAGGGGGAGTGGGAGAGGGAGAAGCAGGCTTCCCGCCGAGCAGGGATCCTGATGTGGGGCTCGATCCCAGGACCCTGGGATCATGACCTGAGCTGAAGGCATATGCTCAATGACTAGCCACCCAGGTGCCTCGAGGAGCTGTGTTTAAAAAAAAAATTTAAAAAAATTTTTATTTTGGAATGATTTTAAATTTCCTGAAAGTTGCAAAAATAGTGCAGAATTCACATATGCCCTTCGCTTATCTTACCCTGATGTTAACAGCTTATATAACCACAGTACAATATCAAAACCAGGATATTAACATTGGCACAATACTTCTAACTAAACTAGAGACCTTAGTCAGATTTCACCGGTTTTTTCTTAATGTTCTCCCCCTCCAAGGCCATTCCAATTCAGAGTCCCACATTACATTTAGTTGTTGTGTCTCCTTTGTCTCCTCCAATCTTGACAGTTCCTGTCTTTCCTAGTTTTTCATGACTTCGACACTTTGGGTGAGTACTGCTCAGTTCTTTTGTTTACCTTGTTTTTTCATGATAAGAATTGATACAGTAGAAATTGACCCAGTAAGAGAATGTCCCATGTTTTCTCACAATAAAATTAAGATTATGCATTGTAGTAATACAAAGAGTAAAGCTTTTGGCAGTACTGCTATGGAAATGCTGTTGTGTGCTTTTTGGCACATCCCATGGTGGGGGGGATTGGAGGGTGAGGCACATGACATTAATATGTGCCATTAGTAGCGATCACGTGGTTAAGATGATACATCCTGGGTTTCTCCACTGCAAAGTTACTATTTCTTTCTTTTGTAATAAACACACATCTTAGGGCAGGTACTTTCAGTCTATGCTAATATCCTGTTTCTTCTCAAGTCTTTGCCCACTGATTTTAGCATCCAGCTGTGGATCTTGCCTTGCAACAGTTATTACTATGATGTAATAACTGGTAATTTTGTTTTTCCCTCATTCCTTATATGTCTGTTGACTGAGATTCTTCTGTAAGGAAGATCTTTTTCTTCTCCCCTGTTTATTTATGCATTGATTTATGTATTTATGCCAGTATGGACTCGTGGGTATTTAATTATTTGTACAGTAATTTATTTTGGGCTCAGATTATTCCAGCTTTAGCCATTGGGAGCTCCTTCACATTGTTTCCTGTGTCCTTTTGACATGCTCTCATCCTTTTTTGAGAAATTCCTAGTTTTCTAGTACCATAAGATACCACAGACTCATCTTGTATTTTCCCTTCCCCAGCCCTGGAACCAGGCACTTCTCCAAGAGGCCCTGGTTCCTTTTATTGGGAAATGGTACATAGAAACCAAGATCTGGATGCTTGGTGTTCTCATTGTTACTGGGATGTCATTGCTCCTAGGCTTTCTCCATGCACAGACCTAGGAAATATATGTATGTATCCTAACCCACACATATACATTAATCTATATTTATTCCTTATATATATATCCATTTGCACATATATTAAAAACAATGGCTTACACTGATGCTTTGGATTCCAAAGCAATGCCACAAGATTTACTCAGTCTCCCTCTTTGCTTATTTGTAACTTCTTTCTCCAACAGTGAGAAAGGTGGCTCTCATTATCTGCAATATAGTTACCTGTTTATTCAATCCAAGTATGCACATAAATAATTTATAAAACTATTCCATAGCCTTGAAAGTAAAACAGATTTACTAATTAAAGTACATTATCTGTATACAGCTGTTTTTATTTTTAGCCTTAGAACATTCAGTCAAGGTGTTTTTCAAAGTGACTTTTCTTCTACATTTCCTTCAGTGTGGTTGTTATTCATTTGTTATACAGCTAAGTTCATTTGTTTCTCTTTGTATCCCATTTTTATCTGTTCCCCTCCCCCCCCACTTCTGTATACTGGTTGATTGTAAGTATGTACATAAGTACATATGTTTGTCCTTATGTATGTATGTATTCATGAATATATCACTACGGTTCCGAGAGTCAAAACTATACAAAATGGCATACCCAGAGAAGTATTACTCCCTTTCCCCATTCCTATTCTCCTGTTCCTCATTCCTCCTTTTCATCCTTTTCCCACATACCATGGATCACTGATCTCTCTAGTTTCTAGATAAACCTAGTTTATCCTCCCTGCTTCCTAGATTTCTTTTGCAAATAAATGTGTATTTTCTTTTCCTTTCTTTTCTTTCTTTCTTTCTTTCTTTCTTTCTTTCTTTCTTTCTTTCTTTCGAGAGAGAGAACAAGTGTGAGTGGGGGGGGAGGGCAGAGGGAGAGGAAGAGAGAGAGTCTTAAGCAGGCTCCATGCTCGGTGTGGAGCCTGACACGGGACTCCATCTCAGGACCCTGAGATCATGACCTGAATTGAAATCAAGAGTCAGATGCTTAAATGACTGAGCCACCCAAGCACCCTGATAAATGTGTATTTTCTTTTGAACTACTTTAGTGAATTCTAATTAATATACCATAGAATCCACCAATTCAAAGAAAGTCTACAAATCAATGATTTTGAGTAAATTAGTTGAGTTGTGCAACTATCACATAATATAGTTTTCAAACATTTTCCTCGTCTCAATAAGATCCCTATTCCCAGCCCCAGCTCCGGACAACCACTAGTCTACTTCCTGTCTCTACAGATTTGGATATTCTTTTTCTGGATATTTCATATAAATAGAATTATACAATATGTGGTCTTTTGCTTTTGGCTTCCTTCACATAGCATGCTTTTGAGGTTCATCCATGTTGTAGCCTATACTGGCATTTTATTCCTTTTTATTGTTGACTAATATTCTATTGTATGGATATACCGTATTTTGTTTATCCATCCACCAGTTGATGGATATGTGGGTTGTTTCTACTTTTGGGCTATCATAAATAATGTCACTATGAACATTTACCTGCAAGTCTTTGTGTGGACATAATTTTTCATTTCTTTTGGAGGTATACCTAGAAGTATAAAGAAATTTCTAGATTGCATGGGAAATTTGTTTAACCTTTTAAGAAACTGCTACATTGTTTCCAAAGTGGCTGTGCCATCTCACATTACTATCAGCAGTGTATGAGGGTTCCCATTTCTCCACATCCTCATCAACATTTGTTATTGTCTGTCTTTTTTATTCAAACTGTTCTAGTGAGTGTGAAATGGTATCTCATTGTGGTTTTAATTTGAATTCCCATAATAATTAATGATGTTGACCATCTTTTCATATGCTTATTACCCATTTCTCTATCCTCTTTGGTGAAATGTCTATTCAAATTGTTTGCCCATTCTGAAATTGGGTTGTTTGTCTTATTATTGTTGTGAGAGTTCTTTGTAAGTCCTTTATGAGGTATGTGATTTGCAAATATCTTCCACCAATCTGTGGCTTGTCTTCATTTTATTTATTTATTTATTTAAAATATTTTATTTATTTATTATTTGACACACAGAGAGAGACAGCGAGAGAGGAAACACAAGCAGGGGAAGTGGGAGAGGGAGAAACAGGCTCCTCGCTGAGCAGGGAGCCCAATGTGGGGCTGGATCCCAGAACCCTGGGATCATGACCTGACCGAAGGCAGACACTTAATGACTGAGCCACCCAGTCGCCCCTTATTTATTGATTTTGTGTGTGCATGTTTAAGATTTTATTTATTTATTTATTTATTTATTTATTTATTTATTTATTTAAGAGCATGCACAAACTGGGGGGCAGCAGACAGAGGGAGAAGCAGGCTTCCTGCTGAGCAAGGAGCCCGATGTGGGACTCAAACCCACGACCCTGGGATCATGACCTGAGCCAAAGGCAGACGCTTAACCGACTGAGCCTCCCAGGCGTCCCTTAGAACTTTAAAAAGTTGTAAATTTTTATAAAGTCCAACTTACTAATTTTATTTTATTTTTTTTTTATTTTTTAAAGATTTTATTTATTTATTTGAGAGAGAATGAGAGAGAGAGAAAGCACATGAGGAAGAGGGTCAGAGGGAGAAGCAGACTCCCCGCTGAGCAGGGAGCCCGATGTGGGACTCAATCCTGGGACTCCAGGATCATGACCTGAGCCGAAGGCAGTCGCTTAACCAACTGAGCCACCCAGGCGCCCCAATTTATTAATTTTAAAACTTATGAATTGTGTGTTTGGTGTTGTATAATCCAAGGTCTCGGATTTTTCTCATAAAAGCTTTATGTTTTCTCTTAAAAGTTTTATGGTTTTAGCTCTTACATTTAGGACCCTGATCCATTTTTGTTGATTTTTGTGTAGGTGTGAGTTTAAGAGTCTATTTTTTTTTTTTTTTTTGACAGAGAGAAACAGCGAGAGAAGGAACACAAGCAGGGGGAGTGGGAGAGGGAGAAGCAGGCTTCCTGCTGAGCAGGGAGCCTGATGTAGGGCTCCATCCCAGGACCCTGGGATCATGACCTGAGCCGAAGGCAGATGCTTAACCATCTGAGCCACCCAGGCGCCCCTTCAATATTGTTTTTGTTCTTCTGAGTCTTTTGCATTTCTGTAAACATTCTAGGATAAGCTTGTCAAGGTCTGCCAAAAAGCACACTGGAATGTATGTATTTTTCATATTCCTTGATTTTTTTTACATGATAATAAACTACAGATCCTCTTTTGCATTTTGATTTTTTTTTTACTTAGTAGTGTATCCTAGAAATCACCCCAAATCAGTTCATAGAGATCTTTCTCTTTTTTTCAATAGCTGCACAGTACTTCATCGAATAAATGTACCATAGTTCTTCAGCTACTTTCCAATGTGTGGGCCAGTTAGGTTGTTTCTAGTATTTTGTTTTTTGTTTTTTAAGATTTTATTTATTTATTTGACAGAGAGAGAGACAGCAAGAGCAGGAACACAAGCAGGGGGAGTGGGAGAGGGAGAAGCAGGCTTCCTGCTGAGCAGGGAGCCCAGTGCGGGGCTCCATCCGAGGACCCTGGGATCGTGACCTGAGCCGAAGGCAGACGCTTAATGACTGAGCCACACAGGCACCGCTGTTTCTAGTATTTTGTGATTACAAACAATACTGCAGTGAATAACCTTGTGCATATTATTTTTCCTGTTGTTGGAGATGTATCTTCAGGGTAGATTCCTAGAAGTGGGATAGCTGGTTAGAGGGTAAATACATATATCTCCATCCTAAAGAAATGGCCCCCCAAGGAAAAAAAAAAAAAAGAAATGGCCCCTGTCTGGCTTACTTCTCTTTTATTCCTCAGACATTGATGAGTGTGAAAATGAACTCAACGGAGGCTGTGTCCATGACTGTTTGAATATTCCAGGCAATTATCGCTGCACATGTTTTGATGGCTTCAAGTTGGCTCATGATGGTCATAATTGTCTTGGTAAGGAAAACGGTTGGAAATGGTGGGGCTCCTTTACCCTCTCGTGCCCCACCCTTTTGTTTCCTTTGATGAAAACATACTCATTAAAACAAAAAGGGGATCAGAGACTTGTGTTTTCCGCCCCCCTAGAAATCACACTCCCTGACAGAAAACCAGGTAACGTGTTTCAGTTTTTATGTGATCATTCATGATATAAATTCTCCATTAGTCTAAGGAGATGGACATCATTGTTATTACTCATTTCTAGCATTGACTTGTCCCCTTTAAGATCTTTGGTCTTGGGTTGAAAGACTTATAACCATTTCTTTAATGCTGTAAGTATCTCTATCCTAGAATTAGGTAAAACTACTTGTTCTGAAAATTCCGAATGTGTGATTGGATCTCAGTCAGGTAACCGCACCCCCTTTTTGCTTGAGAGACAGAGAAGTTCAAATAGAAACCTTCCATTAACATCCTCCTTTTATTCCACAAAACAGGAACATCTGTTGGAGTTTTAGTCCCTGAGTTAGGGACTGCAAAGAGCATTGTTTATGTTGGTTGCTTCTGCCAGGAATAAAACAGAATTCAGAAATAGCAAGCAATTGGATGGGGCTGAGTGGGCTGAGTGTTGAATAGTCTTAGATGATGCAGCACACCTGGCAGACAGGTATTCGTGGTCTGTTTGCATTTTAAGGCTGATGCTATCAGTTGTACAGTTGTCTCCCATCCTGGGAGACAGATGGCATCAGGGTCCTTGACACTGATGGCCCTTTGTCTGGTTAACCTGCTGATGTCTGCTCGGCTGACCAAGGAGTAACTTGAGCCAAGCCCTGACACAGTGAGGACAGCTATTGTTCCATTATGGTACAGGGGGAATGGCTGCTTGATTAAATGCTTTGAGAGCAGCATAAAAGTCACTAGGTAAGTACAGACAGAACTCGTTTTTTCAGTGGTGGAGGAGAGACCTTCCATCTGGGAATCAACCCTTGTATGTCGTTTATCCCACTTCGGTGTCCCCTGGAACCCCATCCTGATACAGATTCTGGGCCTTCCTGTTGGTGCCCTGTGCGAGAGGTCAGTCTTTGGGTCAGAACACTTGGCCTTGCAAGCCTGCAATGGTCAGGAAGATTTGATTGAGGGCTGAGGGCTCACTAACCCCTTTGCAGACTGCCTAGGGCAGTCAGGACCACAAAAAGACACTAGAGAGCCAATCGTGACAACAGCAGTCAATTGAGATTAATTAAAAACTCAAAAAAAAAAAAATGAGATCCCTTTCAATGTGTAATTTTTGGGGAAGCATGCAGTATGTTTTGGGGGTTTTGTTTTTACCATTTTCTGGGGGTGAGTCTCACATTTCCTTTTGATTTGCCAAAAGTGGCATTTGGGGGAATTTATGTCTAATGGCAGATCTAGTCATCACAGTTGTGCTCAAACCCCAAGTTGTGCCTGGGGGAACATGTGAGCTTCCTAGGAGCAACAGGCCAAACCACCCAGGGTTTAAGGACCTGGGCCAGGTTTGGGTCGGGTGGTTCCGAGTCAAGGCTGGCTCAGAAATCCTGAAGCCGGGAGTCTTTCCTTGCCTTGGCTGCTAACACAGATATTTCAGCGGACTATCTCCGTTTCCCCTCCTTGGGGTCTCTTGGTGGCGTCGGTAGCAAGGATCTGCCTAGCAGAAATATCCTGAGTATCCGCTGAGTGTATCTGAAGGGGCTAAGGATTCTTTAAAGGAAGCCATGAGAAAATGAAGTAGTATGGTAAGAAGAGCAAGACCAGCAGACACAGAGATTTCTGTGCCATTTAGACTTGAAAGGGCTGAAGCATTTTGTGACATGGAAGCTCAGAGGCAAAACTTTTCAGGAGCAGCACTGTCCAGCGTTCCCTGGGCTGACCGCGGACCTCTCCTCGGCCCCTTACCACATGTTAGCCACAAATATATTAGCCAGAATATACCACTTAAGTCTGGCACTAAACCCAGAGTGCTTCAAGATCCTGAATGCCTGAGAGCCTGAGAAACGAAATGCAGCCCTCTTCCGTGTAAGCTCACCTGCCTGAATTCAGTTTCCATTTATCGAGTGTCTAGGAGTACTTCTTAGCTATTCAGTGTTGTGGCATTGGTTCTCAACTCTGGCTGCACATTAGAATCATTCAAGAAGTTTAAAACAACACCATTGCCTAGGTCTCATCCAAGACGAGTTATGTCAGCGTCTCAGGAGGTAGGGTCCCAGCATCTGGGTGCTAACGTGCAGCCAGGGTTGAGAACCACTGTTTTGCAGTCTGGAGAAACTCACCAGGTGAGTGATACCTATTTGTGCATGTGAACCCACACACTTTTTGTATTAATTCAGTCAGAGTACATCACCCAACTCAATGGCACATTTCTAGTGGCTTTGGAGAAAGGAATAGTAGGTTTGAAGGTAGGATGGGTGGGTGGCAGCTCAGAGGGGAGCACACCTTTACTCAAAACCAATCCAGGATTTGGCATTCAGGGAAACAGATCTCTCCTGCTCACCATGAGTCCTCATCATGGAGCACCTTGGCCAGGTGTGTTCCAGCGGCTCATCCTTTGGAATGTGCTCCCTTTACCCTTTGGCATAGAGAAGGGCAAGTTTGTTAGGCTTGAGGGGATGGCTCGAGTCCCATCTGTTTAGAAAGACATCTGCCTGGTAGTGTGGGAGGATGCACGACTGTAAGATCTGAAGCTTGAAACCAGATAACAGATATTTAAATGTGAATTTTCTTGTTATGGATGTGCCCAGAAGCTAGTGTTAGGCACATGGGAAATCAGGCTGGAGAAGTAAATTGCTTTTATTATTTATTTTTATTTTTAATTTTTTTAGATTTTATTTCTTTATTTGAAAGAGAGAGAGCGCGCGTGTGCAAGCGAGCAGTGGGAGGAGCAAAGGGAGAGGGACAAGCAGAGTCTGTGCTGAGCGTAGAGCCCAATGCGGGGCTTGATCTCACAGCTCGGAGATCATGACCTGAGGTGAAATCAAGAGTCGAATGTTTAACTGACTGAGCCACCCAGGTGCCCCAAAATAAATTGCTTTTGTATCAGCCTTCTCCTTAAGGCTTTGTCATGTCTGAGGCTTTTCTGGAAGTTTCCTCTGCTTTGGCTCTGGTGATGCTATGCTCTCCTGCTTTTTTGTTCATGCACTGAACAATGTGCATCTGCAGTTCCAGGGCTGTGCTAAATAAAACAAAAATCTCTGTCCTCAAGGAGTCTGCAATCCAGTGGAGATGGATAAGTGACAGGTTTTGAGGGGTCAAAAGGTGCAAATTAAAAAAAGAAGATTTTGAGAATGTGACATGGTCAGTGTATTGATGGAGCCGTGCACAGAGTAATATATGACACAGTGGAAGGAAAGTCCCTTAACCCACCCTGGGGGGGGTGGCGGAAGACAGGTGGAGGATGACTCATTCCCTCTGTCTTTCTGATGGCTCCTTCTCTGGGGCTTCTGCTGTCTCCTCTACTTTCTCCTGCCCCTGGTATTCTCCTGAATTCTGCCTCTGGCCCTGTGCTCTCTGCAACCCTTCTCTCCCTTCCCACTCCTGCCTTCGGCTTTCTCGTCTACATCCACCACTTTATCAGGCCACCACAAGTAAACGGCTTTCCGAGGTGTCTTCACAACACCAGACTCAGGTTTCCCACTGCCTTCTGGACCAAGGCCTGAAGGTCAGCATCTCACACACATCACCTTCCTGCCCTGGTGGGGGCCAACCTCATCTTCACCCCCATTTCCCCACCCGGCTCTGGTCTTCATGTTTCTCGGCCACCGTACCGGATGCCCACATGGTTTTCCACCCTGCAGGCACCTTGTCCACAGGCCTCTTCTATTTTTTCTATTTCTTCCTTCCTAGGCATCCCCATGGCCAGACCCCAGGTCTGGTCCCCCACTAGCCCCAACTGAGGCTATTTCAGGTACACATGTGAAGCCAGACTCCCAGACGTTCAATTCTTCTTGTATCCTACCCTTCCTCGGCTACCACCTTCTTCTTCCCAACTCAAGGGTCTGACCATGCCACCCTTGCTACAGTGGTTCCCAACTGCCTCCCAAATCAAGGTCGAACTTCTTTGCCTGGTGTCCTCCCAGCTTTATCTCCTGTAACTTCCCTGCATGGACCTGTGCTCCAGCCAAATTGAATGGCCGCCCTTATCTGAACATACTCCACGCTCCCCAGCATCTGCACTACGCTCCTGCCCTTTCTTTTGCCTAAAATCCCTTCTCCTGATTTAGAACTGAAGACATCCTGTAGGGCCCATCTTTCATCAGCTTTTCCATAAAACCCATCCCGATACCCTACAGCCAGGTGGCCTCCTCATCCTTCGCACCACCAAACTGTATCCCACAATTACTCGGATGTTTGTCTCCTTCCCTCTGCTGACGGGGCAGGCTCCTAGAGCAGAAGAATTTGATCCTACTCGTCTGTGTTTTACTGTCTCCTCTGGCACCAAACTCTGGAAAGAGAAGGTGTTCAGTGAATATTTACTGAATTGATTATCTTGTGTCTGTGTGGAAGGCCTGGTTAAGGGCGCCCCAGAGCTCTGCGGTCTGGGGTCCCTGCTGACTTCAATTCGGAGAGCTACTGTGATGCAGGGAAGGAAGAGGGACCTCATCTCTGCCTAGCAGGGGAGGGGTGGGCATTTGAAACAGTCCTCAGAGCCAAGGCTAATCCTCCTCTCCCTCCAGATGTGGACGAGTGCCTGGAGAACAATGGTGGCTGCCAGCACACCTGTGTCAACGTCATGGGGAGCTATGAGTGCCACTGCAAGGAGGGATTTTTCCTGAGTGACAATCAGCACACGTGCATTCACCGCTTGGAAGGTGCCTCGGCTCTGCTGTGGGTGGGTGGGGGGTGTAGGGGGGGTAGGGGGCAGGCAGTGTCACCTGTGAAAACCTCCCCCACCCTCAGTGATTTTTCGAGGGGAAGCATGGAGTATGGGAAAATCTGGAGGCCTGGGGATGAGTCCAGACCCTGCTACTGGGTAACCCTGGGCAGGCTATTTTAGCTTCCATTTCCTCACCTGGCAAAATAAGTGGGTTGGGCTGGGTGAGCTCTGAGGTCTCTTCACACTCTCACATTCGTGATTCTAATCTTTAAATAGAGAACATTTCAAACATGACTAGATGTCTCAGGAGAAATGTAATGGACAGTCTGCCAAGTTTTTCAAAACGGTGCTGCAAACCACAGCACCAAGTGCGAGCCTGCTCTGGGCTCTGGGTGGGTAGGGAGGGGCTAGAGCCTTCTTATAGGGACAGGCAGACCCAGCTCTGCCCTTCCCTGGGTCTCCCATTTTTAAACTCTGAGCCTCTGGGCTTCCAGCGCAGAGGGACCCCCCTCCCCAGACGTGGGCTTTCAATGCTGTGGTTTTCCCCATGCCACTGCTTACCATTCCTCCAGAAATTTTGTAGACTGCTCTTCTGATGGCCTCCCTTTTGTCTCTTTGCCTTGGGTCTATACCTTTTTTATTCCTCTGTTAGTTCAGTGGATTCTCGGGGCGGGGGGGGGGGCAGGCATTAACTGAATGACATGTTTTTAATTCTCTGCTCTTTCTTAAGCTGAAGGACTACATTTTGATGGCTGGGCTGTCCCGGGGTTGCCTGTGCGTGTTTGTAAGGGAAGTGCTCTAAACATTAGACTATTAGCTCCTTTTGGTATGTGCTGCTTGTTCATTCTCATAACTGAAGAATGAGGCGATTTTAAGTTCTTCTGCTATTTAGTCACACATTTGTAGATTTGTTGTTGAATCATGGTTTTTGTGACTTTTTAAAAAGATTTCATTTATTTGAGAAAGAGAGAAAGCCAAAGACACAGCACGAGCAGGGGGGAGGGGCCAAGGAAGAGGGAGAAGCAGACTCCCCCTGAGCAGGGAGCCCTAATGCGGGGCTCAGTCCCAGGACCCTGGGATCATGACCTGAGCCAAAGACACACACTTAACCGACTGAGCCACCCAGGTGCCCCTCTTATGACTTTTCAAGGGTGTCTTTGTGGAAGATGATTTTTGCCTCATTTTCCAAGAATGATGGATCCTTCCTTCTACCTGGCTGGAAAAGGCTGTTTGGGTACTAAGAAGAATGGTCACAGGCCAGTGGGTTTGATGAGTCTTATCACCCCGAGCCTGCTGGTTCTCAGTGTTTGGGCAGGAGAGACACACACACTAGCTCTAATCAGGCAGATCTCTTATCTCATGCAGGCGTGGCCCTTGATAGAGTAGCAGTTGGGTTTCACATTCCTGGTAGGTTCTCTGGACTTTTCTGTGAGCCTTGCATCTGGGATGAGGTAGGATTAAGAAGCCAGCAGTAAGAGCGATCTCAGGGCACCTCCTCTTTGGTTGCTCAAAGCTACTTCTTGGGAAGTCACTTGGCTTTCCCTACAGGTGCCTCGGATAGGAGTGGGGACCTGTGGGTCAGGCCGTTGCTTAAACACAGTATGGATCCCCACCAACTCACAAAGCAGTTCACAGCGATTAAGATCATCTCTTACCTTGCACTTTCAAAGCAGTGGCTCAGCCCCTCTCTCCCTTCCGACAGAACCTCCAGACTGATTACAGACACAGGCTCTTCATAACAGAAGTAAATAACAAAAGCAGTTCCTTTCTGCAATCTGTGTTTTCTAAATTTTCTACAATTCAGACATTCTTGGATTCCCTGAAGAGTATTTAGAATGAACATACTCGTCTGGAGCTAAAAGCAAAATCCAAGAATTTGAGTTGTGGTCTGGAAGTGCTCTCTGATTTTTCTGTTGTATTGCAGGCTGATTTCTTGGTGAATTCATGGCAGCCTGAGCCAACAGATTATAGCGGTTGATAACAGACCCTGTCCATCCTAAGGTTTTAACTCTTCAAATACAACAGTCTGTAAACAGTGTTCCTTTAGGATTTATTTCCTCGATGTGCACATTAAACTCTTAGAAACTGTATTAAAGTGGACTTTAAAACCCCCTGTTGATACTCCAAAATTGGTTAAAAGAAGGTAATACTGCAAGCTTGTATTTTTTGGTGTTGCAGTTATTTTTAATAATTATTTACTAAATGTTCTTCAATTCAGGGGATCATAATAGATGATTCTGAGGGAAAGCTTAAGCTATTGATTTTTCTTTTTTTTTATTCTTAGAGACCCCAAAGCTCTGATAAAGAGATTGTGTGTTTTCACCCATGTAATGGGGGTAGGCTGGGGAGAGACATACTGCCGCAGCCAGGCTTTGTCCCTATTCATGGGTGCTCAGGCTCTCAAAATGAGCATTCCCTTTTTGTTTTGCCTGCTCTGAGAATATTTTTCGATGTTTGCACCACTGCCTTTTCAGAGTAGGGGGAAGGTGTCAGGGTAGTGAGGAAGGGGCTATCTCTCAGCAGGGCCTGTTTCCATCCTTTATAGAATGTTTCTCACTCTGCAAGATATATTTTTCTCCAGTTTCCAGAAATATTCTTCAGTGGGACCACTGCAACAGGATATTTCTAATGTTTTTGAGCTATTTCCCTCCTGGTGAACTAGCAACCTGAAACATGATTGCCAGCCCTCCTAGTTTGGACTAGACCCATCTGCCTCCCTAGCAGTGGCCCTTTTTTTTGAGTCAGAGAACTATGAACAGCTTCAGGGGCACCTTTTGAAAAGCCCCCAGCATTTCCAGAGCCATTTTAACGTCTATTATCTCCTGGTAACTTTAGGTCTAGCTTGATATGATAGGGCACCAGGGGACAACTTTTCATGTATCCCCAAGGCATCTGGCACCCAGTCAGGTTTGTTTGTTTTTTTTTTAACAGTCAATTCTTTCTTTTTTTTAATATTTTATTTTTAAGTAATCTCTTTTTTTAATTTAATTTAATTTTATAATAGTCAATTCTTATGAAATATTTCTTGTGTAAATGAATTGCTGCTCTGAGGCAGGACAGGTCACTTTGCAAATGTCTCCACAGACTCGTAAACAGGGTGAGAAGAAGCGGCCGCCCCTGACCTGTCCGGGGAGCGTGCTTTGCTGGTGTTGCCACTGCCCTTTCTTGGGCACTGTCATGTTCAGCTCTAGAGGCTCCTGGCACCCGTGATCCCAAATGCTCTGCTGACCCAAGGACAAATGTAATTCTTGCCGGGCCTTCCTAGGAGGATAGAACGTCGCTTCCAGAGGCAGCTGTCTCTCACCTCCTGTGCTGTCTCAGAGTTGGAAGCAAGTAACATTTCCACAAATCACCAGCCAGAGCTACGAGAGAGCTTTGCTTTCCTCGGGTCCAAGCCCCATTCTGTGTTAACTGACAGCAGCCTTGGCATGGGTGAATGAATCACGCAGATGGAGTGCGGGAGTTCAAACAGCTTGTAACTGTCAGATAAAAAACAAAATGGTTTTAAGAGAGTATGGGATGTATTAACTGTCACGCTGTCTTTTGGAATAGGAATGACATCTGTTTGTATTAAAACGGCTATTCCAGTTGAGCACAGATCAACGGTTCTGTGGTGAGAATTGGGGAGAAGTGACTTTTGACTTAATTAGAACCACTTGGCTAACTAAGGTTTTAGGGGCATAATACAGGACAGTGTAGGATCCCAGAGAAGTTGAATGAAAACTTCTTGTACTCATGTTTAAAACAGCGCTACTTCCTGTGTTAGAGAGTGTCTTGTTAGCTGAGAACAAAAAACCTACTCTCTGTACTTTGCATTGTACAGATGCAAAGAAGCATCAGACGGGCATGTAGTCAGTAATGCAGTAGGAGCTGAGCAAAGGTCTTGAGAATACTCTTGGGCATGATAATAGTTCCTGGCAGGTGATGGGGTCTGAGAGAGTCGTATTGAGAAGAGGCAGGATTCTGGCAAACCACACCGACATACACTAGGTTATGACCCCCATCATTTAAACGCGTGTTAAACCAGCCGGGGAAATAACCCCCTTCCCTGCCCTGTGACCACAGGATTGGACCGTAATGAAAATGATAGTCTACCTGGAGAGAATTTTACAGCGGCTGAAGGAAACCACATGCCCGCGGGTCCCTCTGCGGTTGTGTTGTGCTGTGCTCCGAGCCTGCTGGGGGTGGTGGGTGCGAAGGGACTAAGTGACAGTGGTCACAGAAGAGAGGCCCCTGGGCCCTTTGTGTGCTGATGCCAAAATACAGTAGTCACAGTCACCTCCAAAGTGTGGATTTGGTTGGGGGAGAAAAGAGGGTTGAGGTTTTTGGAAAATTATCTTCAAGAGTATGTGAAAAAGTTGGCCATCTTCATCTATCTGCAGATATTCTTAGATTCTCCTTCTTTCTTTGCCTTCTTGGTCAGCCTGGGTAACAACCTGGCGGAGATAAGAGTCTGAGTGCCGGTTCCTGGGGTCTGCAGGTTGTGGCTCCTCACACACCAGAGAGCCTCTGGGGGGCGCTTTCTTTTCCGAGTATTAGGAGGGCTCCTTCCTCTTTAGGAGACTCGAGGCATCGGATCTCTTGGGTGACAGAGGAAATTCTTCATGTCTCTGTTAGTTGACCTGGCTGGATTTTAATGGCATGTTTTCTTAAAGTGTGGGGCTGCTGGAGACCCAGGCAGTCAGGTCCCAGCCTCCAGCCCTTCGCAGTGCCCCTGGGGCTCAGGACTGTGCTTGCAGCCTGGTCACTGGCGGCATGCTGCTCTTTTGCAGAGGGTCTGAGCTGCATGAATCAGAATCACGGCTGTAGTCACATCTGCAAGGAGGCCCCGAGGGGGAGCGTCGCCTGCGAGTGCCGGCCGGGCTTTGAGCTGGCCAAGAACCAGAGAGACTGCGTCTGTAAGTACAGACTAGCACAGGCCTGTGCTGGGAGCCGGCCTACCCCAGGGGGTGTCTTCTGCAGCCCAGCTCAGAAATGCCACCTCACGGCAGAGCAGCCGCGTCCAGGAAGGCAGGCATCCCAGGATACTGACCTCTACTGAGGACTAAATTCGCTGCACAAGGGGTGGGCTCCCCTAGGGAAGGAGGGAAGGAAGATGATGCTTTTTAAGGGACCTAATCAGAAGGAAATAAAATTCAGAAGGACTGTGAATGCTGGGGCCGGTCTCCCTGTTCCCACAGAATAAGATCAAACGTGGTCATCTGGCAACCACAGCTCTTTGCTCCCTGGTCCTGCTTCTTGTACAAACCTCATCGGCCTCCTTTTCCCAAACACCGTACCTCTTTGTCTGTCAGAGAACAGCCCGTGTTCCTTCATGCCTCCAAGCCTTCTCCAAGCGCTCCTCCCGACCTGGCTGAATTCTCAGTCAACCTTTAATATTCTGCCTAACTTCTAATAATGAGAAGGAGAGTAGCTGCTTTTGAGGGCACATTTACTATGTGTAAAGGCTTGTCAAAGATGTACCGATCCCCTGAATTCTTAATATCACCACCCTACTGAGCTAAGTGTTATTATCCTCATTTTGTGGAGAAGGAAAAGCAACAAGGTCACACAGGGAGCATGTGCCGAGTGAGGGTTCAGGTGTAGGTCCTCCTAACTCTCAGTCTGGTGCACCTTGCTAAACATCCCTGGGAGCCTGCCCTGACCAGCCGGGCAGCCATTTTGTATTTTGGCTCCTACAGCACTGTGGGTTCCTCAGTGAGAGCATGGGACGCCCGGGTCGAATTGTACATTTATGTGTGTGTCCCCTCGCCTGTGAACGCCCCCCGTCAGGGATCTTGTTTCGGTTCTGCCTCTCAGTCATCCCTCAGGGCCCAGTGCAGGATGAGCTCAATACACGTTTGTTTATCGAATGAACAAATGGTGTCCACCGTCCGGACACAGCTGCCGCATGATGATGAGACACAAGAATGAAACTCCAACTGGTCATAGGAAATAACCGGCCATTAAAGGTGTTCCTAAACCACTATTTATGCCAGAGGAAACACGGACAGTTTTCCTTTAGCAACTCTTCCCAAAGCCATGGACCTTCTATAATTTCCCTGCAGTTTGCTAGGGATGGTTGTTTACAGCAAGTCGACCTTAGCCATTAAGAGAGGAGGAGGTTGTTTCTCCAGTGAGAGCCTTATCTCCGTTGTCTCCACCACAAAGCAGAGAGCGCAGCCCTGAAGCCTGCCAAACCAGGGCTAGTGCCGCCACCACCCCCACCACCCCCACCCCCACCACTTGGGGCCCCTAAAAGTGAGGCTGTCCCTGAGGGCTTCCCGTGGGCTGAGCGAAGTGGAGACCCTTCCTGGCTCCCCATATCCTCACAAGGATGACCCAGATCTCCAGATGAGGCTCACCTGTGGAGTGAGACTCTGGCCAGTAGAATACCTGGAATTTAAATTTTAAATTTTTCAATATTTTTAAGAGGTCACTTCTCAAATAATATTATAATCACATTTGAGGAAAAAAACAAAAAGAAAAAAAGATGCAGGATTCTACCATATAACCAGCTGTTTCACTTTGTTTTGCTCTTTCTTCCTGCCCCTTCACTTTTTTCATATTCCTATTTAGTTCTCGTGAGTACACAGTGTTTATCTCACGGTGAAGCAGAACAGTTTCTTTCTCACATCACAAATACGTATTTAGTTTTCTTAAACTGGAAAAATGACAAATGCCTGTGTAAGAATTCAAACAGTTCTAAGGGTGTAAAGGAAGCATATTCTTCCCTCTCCCATTTCTCCTACCAGAGGTAACCACTGTTCACTTTGATGAATACATAGTTTTGAGTTGTTTTTTTGTTTTCTGTTTTTGTTTTGGCTGGTATCAATGAATTCATACACAGTCTTTGTAATTCTTGGGTAATGTTGCATTAAGTATGTGCAGAGTCATCATTTCCTCTGAACACTGTCCCTTCTAACTAATCTAGATAGAATCAGATGAGAGAAATGCTAACATATATGTACAATTAAGTATTATCTGTTTCTCCCAGTCATAAAGGGCTGTAACATTTTCTATAGGCCCAGTATAGCTGCATTAATATGCAAACTTCTTCTGATAGACCAAAGCAGTAGTCTAGAATCTTTTGGTATAATAGTGGTCATCTGGCAACCACAGCTGAATGAATAGTGAAAATCTGCCTTCCCATCCCCATCTTCCTATATAATTGCTCAAATCTGTCATTCGGCATTTCTTGAATTCATGCTCTGACTATCTATTTACATAGACAGCAACAGGCTCTGTCTGAGTGAGTTACTTGTTTTACGCACAGAACCTAGCACATACTAGGTGCGCAAATACTTGCTAAATGAATATCAGAGACCTGAAACAAAAACAGCCCCAGTTGTGGAAAACTCAGTGCTCAGCTGAGTGTGGATTCCTTTTCTTCTCAGTGACCTGTAACCATGGAAACGGTGGGTGCCAGCACTCCTGCGAGGACACTGCCGAAGGCCCAGCGTGTAGCTGCCATCCCCAGTACAAGATGCACGCAGACGGGAGAAGCTGCCATGGTGAGTGACCCTGACACGTGGTAAGGGTCTGCCCCAGCCTGCCCACCCATAACCCTAACCCCTAACCCCTAACCTTAACCCTAACTCCCTAACCCCCTGCCCCCTACCCCTACCCCTATGAATGTTGTTTAGCACCAGGTTCGGGGTGCTTCTGGTCCATTTGCCTCCAAATAGGTCCCGTGCCGCCTTACATGTGACAGTGGGAGTGAGTGGTCTAGTCCTGGGAGGAGGAGGTCTCTCCCTGTGCCACCTCAGAAAGCCCTTTCTCTTCTCTTAGACTAGGGGGGCTCCTGAAGATAGTATTCTGGAGGCTGGGGCCAGGGCGACATGAAGTTAAACCTAGCCATTTGTGATGATGCAGTGGCTGTTATGGTCAGCAGAAGACAGTGTTGCGTATTTCTGTCAGGATGCCAATCCTGTACTTTGTGGCTTGTCCTTCGCTAGCTCCATTTAGAGGTTTCCAGCCCCAAGATTCTTTTTGTGCCGGACTAAGGGTACTGGAGTGAAGCTGAAGCTTGCATTCCCTGGTGTCTCTTTGGTCACTGCAATATGCTTCAAGAATCTTTTTCAATGTTAACTAAGGCTCTGTGGCCATTTAACAGGCCGGGTTTCCCACAGAGCCTCGTTACAACACATTTTTATTGAGCGAACAGAGTCGCATATCCTCCATTGTTCTCACGTCTGGGGTTTCGGCAGAAGTGGTTGTGCAGGGGGTGAGCCATCTGACTCATTCAGTTGGAGAGCTGTGCTCTTGGGCGTCTCTTACAGAGCGAGAGGACACTGCCCGGGAGGTGACAGAGAGCAATGCCACGTCGGTGGTGGACGGTGATAAGCGGGTGAAGCGGCGGCTGCTCATGGGTAGGCGCTTCCCCCACCCTTCCCTGGCCACTGTCCTTGACCCTGTCCCTCCCTCATTTACTACCTCAGGCCTGAACCAGGGGCCCATACGCCCTCAGACCAGCTGGACCAGGGTCAGCAGCTCCTGTCAAGCCAGGCTGTGTCTGCTCTTCCCCCACTGCTGTTACTTAGTCCCCATCCAAGGACCCGGCAATTGTGGGAAGGGCACCAGCCCCCTGAATGGCCCGGTTAGTGTCCCTGCGCTGACCCCCCTGCCCTGAGCCCCTGTCTCCTGGTCTTTCTTCACACTGGAGGTAAGAAAACCTACCTCTGAGGGTTATCAGGAAGCTCAGTGAGGATGACAATGTGCCAAAGTGCCCAGAGTCCGACGCCTGGGACTTCGTGGGTGGTCAGTGAATGTCAGCGCCAGTCCTTCTGAGCGGCTGTGACCAGGGAGGTACTTTGGGCAGTCCCTTGCTTAGCAGGGCCATGTGTCTGGGTTTTTGTCAGCGGAGTCCTCGTCCCTCTGACTTCAGCCCCTGTTGATGGCAAAAGAGATGAATGCAGAAGAGTGGCACTTGGCTGTGGGTGTAGGAAGGTCTGCCAGTAGAGCTGGAGACGGGAGCAGAAGCAGAGGCCGTGGCTGTGGGGACGGCAGTCAGGTCCTTTGGCGAATTACTGTTCCAGAGAAAGCTTGGCTTGACCGGAACAAAACCAACTTATTGATAGCTTCTAGATTTAACAGGTAATATATTCAGCAGCCATTGGTCACCGGGCACTGAGCTCTTTTCTGCCGTCTTAAAGTTATTTTTAATTGTGTTAAGTTAAAATACTACATATGAATAATATAAAAAAAAACCTTAAAAACCTAATTAGTGCTATTAAGCTTGTAATGAGACATCATTTCCTTGCCTCAAAACTTCCCTTTCTCTCATCCCATTTGCCAGAGGTAACAGTTTCCATTTCTCCTAGTTCCTTCTTCTGACTCCCCTTCCCCCTCATTTCTGAAGAGTGTATACAGTTATTTCCCTTTTTCCTGTTTTATTATATTATACACCTATTCTCTGATGTGTCAGTTTTAGATATTAGCTGTGACTTTTTATTCCAGAGCATGCTGAGTTTTAGCTCTCTTCTGCCCCCTCCCCCAATGCACACCCTCTCCCTCCCCCACACCCTTGCTGCGGTTCTATCACTATTGAGATCAACAGTACATATTTACGTCATTGTGCCAAGGAGTATCTAAATATGAGTCACCCCCACCATGTAGTGTGCTATGATTATTACGTTCTTTGTTTGCCTAGGTTTCTAAGTAACTCTTACCAGTTCTTTTGCAAATTTTGAGCAGAGTCCTAAAACCCTTTTAATGTGTTCAAATACAGCACTCGACTTACTAATTCCATTTTCTTCTTAAAAAGTATCTTCTGGGGGCACCTGGATGGCTCAGTTGGTTAAGTGTCTGCCTTCAGCTCAGGTCATGATCTCAGGGTCCTGAGATTGAGCCCCGAGTTGGGCTCCCTGCTGAGTTGGGAGTCTGCTTCTCCCTCGGCCCCCCCCCTTGCCACGTGCTCTCTCTCTCTCTCAAATAAATAGATAAATAAATAAAAATGTTTTTAAAGTGTCTCCTGAGGCTTCTGCTGCTCTAGAGGGGCGTGACACCCCGCCCCCCCCCCCGGGCTGGCTGCACAGCTCTCATCTGGGTCTTCCTGCTAGCACCAGCCTGGGAATCCCCTTCACCTCGCTCCTGTGTCTGTGGACCCCGTGCTTCTCTGTTGTTAGTTCACAGGGGTAGGTATAGGTTTTTAAAAACCTCCCATGCCTGAAAATGCCTTTTTACTCTACCTTTATTGAGCATTTGGCTCAGTATAGAATTCAGAATTGTGAGTAGTGAGTGCTCTATTGTTTTCAAGCATTCAGTGTTGTTTCCAGAAGTCTAAAGTCATTTTTATTCTTGATCCTTTGAATGGAACCCATGAAAGCTTCTGTCTGGTTGTTTTCAGGGTCTTCTCCTTGTCCCTGGTGGTCTGAAATTTCACAATAATGACCCTCATGATGGGACTTTTCCCAGCTGTTGTGCTGAACACTCAGTTGGCCTTTTCAATATGGACAGTTGAGCCCCCTAGTTCTGAGAAAGTTCCTTATATTTTTTCTTTGATAATTTTCTTAACTACCTATTCCCTATTCTTTCTCTCTGAAACGTCTGTCAGTTGGCTGTTTTAACTCCACTAATTAAGTTTTTGTTCTACTTCCTAGGAGACTTTTCATTTTCTTTCTTCCAACCCTCTACAGGATTCTTTTTAAATGTCTGCTTTCATATTTTAAGTTTTTAAGAATTTTACTTTGGTCTTCTGTTGGAGGCACCTATTCATATTTCATGAATACTTTCCTTATTTCTTTAGGGAAATTAATTAGGAGATTTTTAAAACTTTTCTTTTGTTCCCTGTATTGTCTTTGTTTCATCCAAGTTCCCTTTTCCCTTCTTATTTGATTTGGTGCATCTATTCATATTAAAGGCCTTCCTGAAATATCTGGTGATTCTAGGCTGACTTTTCATATTTAATAGTGAAATACTAAAAAGTTAATTTGGAACGTTCTACCAGCTGGTAGGCTTTAAACTTGGACGACTAGCTTAGCAGTGACTTAGCCATTTCATTTGGAGACCCTCAAATGCCAGTATCTGTATGTCTTTCCACTTGGCCGGGCCAGTTTAGCTGGAGAGGAATCCTTCCGTCTCCTGCCGCGGGGACGTAGACTTGACTGCCAGTGATTCTGGAGCTGGGGATGGGGGCGGGTGGTGGTGGTGAGGCTCTGAGATCTCTCTTTTCAGGGTATAGACTTTCACCTGACTGTGTGGCCTCCTCCCTCCTGCTAGTCCTGTATCCTCGAGTCCAGAGCTTCTCTGGTCCTACTTCTCCAGAAGATGAGTTTCTCTGCTGCGGCCCAAATAGGGAAGGGGTAGTCACCTGGCTGTGGAATTTAGGAGGGGATCTGAGGGTTTGTCTGTTGGTTCTATAGACTCACAATCAGTCTTCCTGTTTTTAACTCCTACCTTACCTCTGCCCCTAGAGTAAGTTAGTATCTCCAATTCCCGGGCCTTTCTGGGGTTCTATGGCTTACCCGAGCTCGCCGCTTGTTGGCACCCCCTCTGCAGACCACTAGGGTTTAGCTTTCTGCTTTGTCCATTACTGCCCCTCCTTGACATGCCGCTTTCAGAATATTTGACGTCTTCTGTCTATTGTCTTTGCTTCCATTTTCTTTGTCCTTAGGGATTTGTACTTTTTAAAATTTTTAATTTCAGTATAGGTAACATACAGTGTAATATCAGTTTGTATACAATTTACTGACCCAGACCTCCATACAACACCCAGTGCTCATCAGGACAAATGCCCTCCTTAATCCCCATCACCTATTCCACCCAGCCTCCCACCCACCTCCTCTCTGGTGACCATCAGTTTGTTCTCTGTAGTTAAGAGTCTGTTTCTTGGCTTGTCTCTCCCTCTTTTTTCCTTTGCTCATTTGTTTTGTTTCTTAAATTCCACATGAGTGAAATCATATGGTATTTGTCTTTCTCTGACTTATTTTGCTTAGCATAATACCCTCTAGCTCCATCCGTGTCGTTGCAAATGGCAAGATTTCTTTCCTTTTTATGGCTGGGTAATATTCCATTTATCAATCGATAGACACTTGGGCTGCTTCCATACTTTGTAGATAATGCTACTATAAACATTGGGGTGCATGTATTCCTTTGAATTAGTGTTTTCATATTTTGGGGGTAAATACCCAATAGTGTGATTACTGGATCATAGGGTAGTTCTATTTTTAACTTTTTGAGGAACCTCCATACTGTTTTCCACAGTGGCTGTACCAGTTCTTAAGGATTTATGCTTTAAAAAATCTTTTTACTCTCATGTGAGCTTTTGAGAGGAAATGGTGATATACCTGTTCTGTCTGGCATATTTAATTAGAACTAAGCTTTTTCCCCGAGGCTGTACATTGAGGTAGCTATGGAAGTAAAAGCAGTAAGTGAAACTAGAAGGACATTTGCTTATTGTTCCTCATCTCTATAGATGGGACTTAATAACTGTGGCTGATTTTTCATGTATCTGTGACAAGTTCTTTCTCCTTTCAGGGAAAGGTAAACTCCTAATCTGAGTTAATTGGCAGTTGCAAGGATGAAGTCGTTGGTCTGCAGCAAGAGAATGGTTGGGGTAGGCGAAGCTTGCCCTCTCTTGCTTCGCCCATTTCTTATATTGAAGGGAGAGGGTTCAGGATTAAGGAGGGAACATCCCTCTTTGCCCTGCTCTGCATTCACATCTAGCTTGCCAGATGTGGCCACACTTAGCAGGTCAGTGGCTGTGGATCAATAGGAACGTGTAGCGGCTTCAGACCTGCCAGTGGAGGGAGGAAAGGCTCAGCAGGCTGGAGAGCCATTTTTACTCCTCTCTCAAGCTTCTCTGGGAGATGTCTCTTATTTAGGTGGGTGAGAGGAGCTGCCCCTGCTCTCCCTTTATCTCACCTGCAGGTGATAGAGACTTGGGATACAGTTGTGAGTGCCCCACCATGCCTCTTGGCTTTTGTGAACTTTGTCAAGCATTAATCCTGCAGTCATAGCCTTTCCTCCCAGCTGTATCAGTGCTTCTTTAGCAAGCTAACCGTCTTTTTCTTCCCTCCTTGTCAGAAACGTGTGCTGTCAACAATGGAGGCTGCGATCGTACCTGTAAGGATACTTCGACAGGTGTTCATTGCAGTTGTCCTGTTGGATTCACTCTCCAGTTGGATGGGAAGACCTGTAAAGGTAGCCTGTGCCTCTCCAAGCTGCTAATGTGTGGGGGTAAAGGCAGCTCTTCCCCCCGCCCCAAACCTCCTGGAGAGACTCCAGAAAGAGTATGATTCATCTCGCTGGAAAAGCGTTTCTTCCCTGGGCTAGTGGAAGATTATAATTGAGTAAGCTTAATTAGAACCAACTTAATTACACTAACTGTTGAGAAGGTCAGCTTCTGCACGCATCAGATAACCTAGGCAGCAGCCTTATTAGAAAAAGGCAGAAGTTCAAGAAAACATTCATTTGCAGGTGCTAGTATCAGCATATCATAAGTAACAGCCTAGAGATTATTATATAAATAACAGCCAAGATTTTTATCCAGAGAACTTAATGAATAGCTGTACAATTAACTTTTACTGATGAATAGAGACCTCAATGAACTGCTAGTATTTCATGGGCAAGAGTACAAAGGCTTCGTTCTTTAACATGATACAAAGCAGATAACCAGTTACCAGATGAAACTGAGAGAAGATAAGATTAATTTGAGTATCAGAATCATTTAAAAGCATTGAGGCTACTTGATCGTCATGTAATTTGCCAAAACAAATGTTCTAATTCCTTATAACTTTAATCATTAAACTGGAATGGAAAGTGCACCGAAGGGAGCCATCTTAACTTGAGAGAGCAGTGCAAGGATGAGATTATAACAGGACATCACCATTCTTTCCCATAATTTGTTTCCTTAATGCTAGCCAAGGGTAGCACAAGTCAGAATTCTCAAGGGCCAAGGCACTTGTCTTTCCCAATTGGTTCAGCCAAACAAGAAAACATGTGTAAGATTAAAAACATCAGCAAACATCCTTACATGCTTTCACAGGTCTGTTTTTGTTGCAGAGAAGCACGCACACAATAGCATGTCAGGGATTTGTGGAAAAGCAGGCCAGTTTTGCTCTCTGATTTGCCGATGCTTGCCTGTTACAGACATTGATGAGTGCCAGACCCGCAATGGAGGTTGTGATCATTTCTGCAAAAACACCGTGGGCAGTTTTGACTGCAGCTGCAAAAAGGGATTTAAATTATTAACAGATGAGAAGTCTTGCCAAGGTATGTGCTGAAACGTAGCTGTGTTGTGCAGTGCCCGCTGGTGGGAGCCGAGAAGACAAAACCCCAGGCTGGCAGAGACTGGCTCATTGGGCTTCTCAATGGAGTCATTAATCCAACCGCCAACCCGTGCCTCACTTATTTCATCTGTCGGTAGAATAAAAACACTGATATAGCTCACAAGTGTATTTTGGACATTAAGCTTTAATGATTAGAGAACACCTCAAAGAATCCATCTGGTGTGATTATAGCAGAGCTCGCTGCTAGAAATGGCATGGATCACAGAGTGTAAACAGGTTTGCATTAGGGTGTTGAGATTATGAATAATTTCTTTTTTCTAAATTTTCTAAAACTCCTTTAATTTTGTGGATTTTTGTAACAAAACTTGGCAAAAATATGTAGATTTAGTTAACATACCTTATCTTTTCTTAGTGAAAAGTTGGGGTCAACCCGTAATCAAGGTCATGTACCAGTTGGTCTTTTCCTCATAGCCCTTGTTTTAATGACCAACCAGCCTCTGGGGCTTGGGGAGAGGGACGGTGGGGAGGGAGGGTGGCGGCTGAGTGGAGGCAAGGCAGGATTGCAGACCCACCTCTTAGATGCATTCCTCCCACACAAGGGGTGTCAAGGGAGCGTCTTTGGGGAGGATTTGTTGTTATTAATAACTCTGGAGTGGTGGTAAGCTGTGTTGGATGAGGGGCATCATTTATATTTTCAGATGAGCACCTTTTGTGCCCTATGGGTATACAGGAAGAGGCTCTGAGGAAAGATGTGCTGTCATGTAGTCTTGTTCCATTTCTGGGAATAAGAACAGCCTAACTTATTTTGTTAGAAATCCCAGAATTAAATCAAAATCAGAAAATAATATCTGCTTTCACTTCAGGTAATAAAAATGTAACATTACGTTTTTAGAAATTCTTATGGTGTGTGAATTAGGTTTCTCTCTCCTTTGTCAGGCAGTTCAAGTATAGCCCCCTTTAAATTCAGCAAGTTCCTTCTGGATGACTATTGCATGGCTTTCTTTCATTTGACTTGGAAAGCAAATTTGATGTTCCACATAATGTTTCATAATGTACAGAGCAAGAAATACTGTTTAAGCTGTGTAAACACATTAAAAAGGAATTAGAAAAGTGATCTCATTATTTTTGGCAAAGCCACAGCCCATCATGTACAGCCAAAGCCAGCTACTGAACAAGTCCACTTTCTTGACAACTGGCTGATGTTAATAACAGAATTCATAGAGTGACATCAATTACTAGGGAAGAAATGGACTTTTTCTTATTTTTCACTGATTGGTCTTGATAGAAGAAATATTTTCACAGAACAAATTTACTGAAGAAATTGCCAGGATTTCTGGGAAAAGCTAGTGATGAAGAAGTTTTGTAAGAATTTGCCCTTTTTAATTTCATTTCTTCATTCCTCTAGTTCCTTCCAAATGTTTGTTTTTTATTAACATAGTTTCTTATGGCACATTTGATGTTGAAAAAGAGATCTAGCTCTGGGCTAGTTGGCTTCCACTGAGTTCTGCACTGGTCCTGGCTTATCCATTTGGAGACACAAGTCGTAACTCTGTTAAAACCCTCCAAAGAGTTGAGGAAGTGAAGCACTGAAATTCTAGTCTACAGGAAAGATGTAAGGACCAGACCAGGGCAGAAGAAATAATTAGATTGACAAAGGCAGACTCCTGAGGCTAGTTTCCAGGACCTCGGCTGAAGCCAGCGATGCCTCCACATTAGACCAGGACAGGAGGGACCCTGTGGGGCTGAACCATGGCAGAAGAACAAAGCCAAGGGATTGGCCAAGAGGATCCAGTTTGGAGCTTAACCACCAAATTTTAGTGTCTGCAATAGAAAATCACTGAGGTTGTTAGCGTTCATGCATTCTTTTAGTGCAGAGGACATTAAAACCCAACTGACCTCTTGGGGCCAGAAGACTAATTCTGGAAAGATAGGAACCAGATTTATTTCCAACCCAACTGTTTTCTCCTTTCCATTTGCTATAGCTTATATAATTAGTACTGTTGTCTTACCAGTAGTAATATAACAACAGTAACGCATGGGTCGCACCTTATTGTTTGCAAACCCTTTTAAGGTATGTTATCTGGTTTGGCTTCACTTAAATATTTTAAATTACTCAGCCCTGCGAATAAGCATGGGAGAGAGAGAGACCAACGGAGCTTAAAGGCAAGTGCAATTTGTAACAGAATTTAGAAATAAGGATTCTGGTTGTGAGTATATGTATGGTAGGCTGCTCAACATTTTCTTTGACACAAGTGGGCCGGCGAACTGATGGATACTTTTTAAATTCTGTTTCCGTTGTTTTTATTGTCGGTCAGTGAGTGGAGTTGTAAACCTGTTCTTTCCCCTCACCCCTCAGAGTTTGTTTCAGCTCCCCTCTCCCTTTGACAATTACAGATGTGGATGAATGCTCTTTGGATAGGACCTGTGACCACAACTGCATCAACTACCCCGGCACATTCACATGTGCTTGCAACAAAGGGTACACCCTCTATGGCTTCACCCACTGCGGAGGTGAGCAGTAGGCCCCTCGAGAGGCAGGGGAGGTTGGGCCTGCAGGGGAGCCGGGCCTACCTCCCCCAGTTTCCCCAGGTCAGGGTCAAATTTCCAATACTGAGGGAATGAACCGGACATTTTAGTATAGTAGTGAGTTCATCGACTCAAGGGAAGCATCTGCCAAGGGAAATCTATTCACATTGAACCCTTTGACATGTTACGTTATGGAGGAGAGAGAGGAACTGAGCTAATCAACTGTGAACTCTTTATTGACTTTACTGATGTAGTGTATTCAGACAGTGGGAGGATCTCTCAGGAGCTGGTACCCTGTCTGTTGGAACTTCCCAGTGGATCGTAAAGTCATAGTCCTCAGAGAGACTGGGCAGGGCACCAACCGTTTCCATAGCCTTGCTGTTCCTAGGAACTAGCTGAGCTGAGAAGCCTGTTTCAAGATCTGAGCTGGTCTTCGAGCAGGTCTTTGAGCTGGAAGTGGACCATTGACTCTATCTCTCTGCGCTGTGTCCATGTAGCCCTGTGTTCGGATGTCATTTGTCCTGATGCTCATGTCGACTGTGGCATAAATCAGATTTGAAATCAAATGACTCCCACCCTGCTCCCCCTGATCATCAGGTTCACTGAACAGTCTTTGAGAATACAGATTCAGATTCTGATTCAGAATGGCTAGGGCTTCCAGGGTGATACCGAGTATCTGAATATTTGGGAACCATGGGCTTAAATACTTCCTCTTCAATTCTTGTGTCCTGAGCTTAAGAAGAATGGAGAGTAGTGGTTTGGTATAGATAGCATTGTCTCTCTTCTCCGTTTCAGTACATCCTTGGCATGGCTAAATACACCCTCTTCCAGTCCATCAAGAAACCCCAAGGATATATGCCCTGAATACGGATGTGTGTCTGGGTTTTAGGTGGAGCTGCCTTCCAGCCTGGACTCAGTCTTGGGTGGGTGGGGATTGGTGCAAGTCATTTTCCTTCTCTATACTTCAGCTACTGAATCTGAACTGTCCAGTGAGGAATCCTAACTCTGTCTCCCTTGGCGTGTAGCTCAGGAGGATGGTAGAATTCCACATCGGAGGCCTGTGTGGTGTTTGCGTTTGGACATGTGAAAATAGAGCGTGCCCCCTTCTGAGTATCCTTAATGGGAGAAAGGTTCGGTCCAGAACGGAACTTGAGACCATCCTGGCGGAGCCTCTGCCAGGAAACCCACAGAGTGGGGAGTGGGGTCAGCTGGTGCCCAGTGCACATCCTGAAAGCGGTTAACACCTTCCCTTGGTTTAGTGAGTTTCGACCCTGTGGCTTCCCTGCTGCTTCCTCAGGGGAGGGACGGCGTCAGCCTGGTCACCAGCGGGCTGCTGTGACAGGAGAGTGTTTTGTTCTGCAGACACCAACGAGTGCAGTGTCAACAATGGGGGCTGTCGGCAGGTCTGTGTGAACACAGTGGGCAGCTACGAATGCCGGTGCCACTCTGCATACAAGCTCCACTGGAATCAGAAAGACTGTGTGGGTAAGGGGTGCCGTGTCCCACAGTCGGCGGGCTCGCACTGACAGGGCAGCCCTGTGCCCACGGGGCTGGGGGGCGCCCGCCCTCCTCCCGTCCCTGATGCTTGTCCTCTCGGCGGCAGCAGCCATTCTCGAAATAGTTAAAAAACAGGAGATACTTTACAGGCTCTTCGGTGTTTCCTTCTGCACTTCTGTGTAGGTCGGACCTCCCTTCTGTTTTCCCGCATGGGAAAAGAAAGAAAAACAAAAACAAAAACAAAAACAAAACAGCACACAAGTAGCTTCTTTACCTTGGAGGGAGATAGTGCCCTGTGTCTTGCGCTCTGTGCTGGATATCAGCCCTACCTTCTTTCCCTGGGGCCTGGGATGTTTGGGACTCACCTGGAAGTGTCCTGCTCTTTCTGTGTCTGCTTTTCGTCCTGTCTAGAAGTGAAGGGGGTCCCGCCCACTAGTGTGTCACCCCATGTGTCCCTGCATTGCGGTAAGAGTGGTGGAGGAGACAGGTGCTTCCTCAGATGTCACTCGGGCATTCACCTCTCTTCAGGTGAGTGGGTCCCTGTCCCTGGGGCAAGTCCTCATGCCAGGGCCAGGACTTCCTGGCCGTTAGGTGTTAGATGCCCTCAAAGACTTCCCAGGTCTTTGACTAGCTGCCCTTGACCACCGGCGGCCCATGCTTTGACACCCCATATGCTGGGCATTTGTCTAGTGGTTTCTGTGGAAAGGGGGGTGGGGACTGAGTTTAGCTGCTAGCAGGAGGGACTGTAACCTTGCTTACATGTTGACAATCCACATTCTGTCCATCAGGACTGCAAGAGGCCTACTCTGTCACCTGCGGCTCTTCCTCTTCTCTCAAGAGCAAACAGCAAAAATCCAATGACTCTACTTTCGGGGGTAATTACCAAATCTGCATGTTCTCTCTGGGGTTCACTGTGGTAAATGGGCTTCATTCTTGGGGTGCTATTCTTGAGCGTTGGCTTTATTTTCTTTTCTCTTAATCTCCTCAGTGCTGTGAGCACATTGCAGGCTGTTCTTGCCCACAGCCTTGGTGCCTGAAAACCGACTCACCATGTAACAGATCCTTACCGAGTGTCCACTGTGTGCTCGGAGGCTCCATCCGTGTTCAGCCCTGGCAGGTCATCATATTGGGCAGAGGCCCACAGAGCTCTGGGATCAGGAGACTCGGGTCTCCCAGACTCCCTGTACCTCAAAGGCCCACCAGACAGTGTGTGCCTGGTGCACATGACGTTGGTGGAGCTAGACATAGGCATGACAGGGGACAAAGATTCTGTCCAGAGAAAGAGTCCCCAACCCTTTCTAGTTTGTCAGAAGACAAAAGATGAAATGCAAAGATTCTAAGTAGCCTCGTCCTCCCAGATGTAGACATCTCTGTGATTACATCCTGAGAATGTCTGAATGAGGAAATGATTCTTGATGTCCATATTACATATATGAGCAGACCTAGCGACCCAAAGCAGGACAATAATACTCGGATATATTGACTGAGCGGTTAAATATACCAGCCACTGTATTACATGTCTGAGCTGATTTAATCCACACTGCAGTGCTCAGGGAAATTTTACTATTCTTCTCATTAATCAGATGAAGAGCCTGAGGTTCAGAGAGGTGAAATAATGTACCCAGACTCAGATAGGAAATAGTGGAGTTGGGATTTTAACCAGGATGGGCAAGCTGATAGTTAATAGTTATTCAGTTCTTCCTGTGTGCCAGACAGTAGGCTAAATTTTTTATTTTTATTTTTTGCATCATCTCATTTAATCCTCACAGTAATGTAGGTACCTTAATGTAAGTACCCCAATTTTGTCTATTTTACAGGTGAGGAAACTGAGGCTTAGGGAGTTTTAGTAACTTGCTTAAATTCTCATCACAAGTCAAAGAGCTAGAGTATGAATCCTGGGCTTTGGCTCCAGAGCTTGACATATGGTTAAGGCTGATTGTGGGGGGAGAGCAGAATTTTGCACACAAGGCCCTCAAAGTGGGACCTTTGCTGCCCCCAGAGCCCAAACATCCTAGCCGCGTTTGGAGAGTGCCATCCTCGTCTGCTCCCTCAACCTTGTCCTCCCAGGAAAGGCTTCTCCATGAGAATCTGCCCTTCGCCATTTCCCTCAGCAGTCATGTCCAAATTCGAACTAGGGGATTCTGGTCTTCTTTCTCAGGAAGTCACAAAAGTGACCTCATAGTTCATCTCGGTGTTGAGGTTATTTGGGGCCCTCTCTTTATTATATTTGAGCATTGGATTCATCTCAGCTAGAAGGATAGGTGTTACTCTTAGGAGGCTCCTGGCAACCCCAGCCTCAGGATCATGGGCACTCCATGAGCCAAATCTTTTGTGGACTCAGGGTAAGAGACAGGCTCAGGGTGTGCAGCGTGGGGTGGGACCCCGCCTCAGGATAGCTCGTCATTACCCACCAGGTCTTTCCATTCCTTTGCCTCTGAAGGTAACATCTCTCACTTGTTTCTTTCTGAAGATGTCACCACCGTCAGGACAAGTGTAACCTTTAAACTAAATGAAGGCAAGTGTAGTTTGAAAAAGGCTGAGCTGTTTTCCGAGGGTCTGCGACCAGCACTACCAGGTATGGAATCAGATGGCTGGTGCAGGGAGCTTGCTTGCATGTTGGGAAAGGGGCCTGTAACATGCTGAGCCCTTCAGATGGGATCGGACAGTCCAGAATCTCCAAGGTCTCTCTCCACAGGGGGAAGAGGAGCCTAGCCTAGCCCCCCTGTATAGCTCTGGAGTTATACTTCAGGGCTTCCTTTGCCAGGCACACATGGTGAGCTCTGGAGAAACATGTGAGTTCACGGGAATCAGTAAGGGCTTTAAGATGCATTGGCAGGTTTGCGATTATATTGGGTTAAATTTTCTAGATCTCAGACTTTGCTTGGAATATAAGCCAAAGAAATGAGAAAGGTTTGGTTCAGGATAATCTCTGATGAACAAAGATGTAATATCCAGCTTTCCTATTGGATCCAGTCTTTGGAGGCAGTGACTCCATTGGCTTCAGCAGAACAAACACCATCCAAATAGAACTGGCCTGGTAGAGAAAAGCAGGACCCAATACTCCTCTCCTTCCCTCCCCTCCCTGGCTCACACTTCCTGTATTATTTCATAAAATAATTTTAGAGATTAAAAAAAATCATGACTCATGTATTAGGGATGCTTCTTTCCCCAGTTTGCCATCACATAAATCATACAAATAAACATGAAGCTCACTGTAGTCACTTTTGGCTGCATATTTTACGAAACTGAGGTTAATTTTGGTACCTCCATTTGATGGAATATTATGCCACTATTAATTATGTGTTTTTAAAGAATGTTTAATGACATAGGAAAATGTTCTTATAATGCTAAGATGGAGAGGGGAGAGTAAGATTTCATATATCTATACAACCCAGACTGTGTAAGAAAAAGTATTAGTAGAAGAAAAAGAAAGGAAACTCACCATATCATTAGTAGTAGTTATAGCTCGTTGTGGGGGGGTTGACAGGAAATTTTCATTATTTTCTTCTGCATTTTCCAAATTCTCCACAGTGAGCATTTATACTTTATTTATTTATTTATTTATTTATTTAAAGATTTTATTTATTTATTTGACAGAGAGAGAGACAGCTAGAGAGGGAACATGAGCAGGGGGAGTGGTAGAGGGAGAAGCAGGCTCCTGGCCGAGCAGGGAGCCCGATGTGGGGCTCGATCCCAGGACCCTGGGATCATGACCTGAGCCGAAGGCAGATGCTTAATGACTGAGCCACCCAGGCGCCCCTATTTATTTATTTTAAAGATTTGTTGTTTGAGGGGAGGGGGCAGAGGGGGAGACAGAGAGGGTCTCAAGCAGACACCCCACTGAGCATGGAGCCCAGTGCAGGCCTCTATCCCATGACCCCGAGATCATGACCTCATGATCAAGCCGAAATCAAGAGTCAGCTGCTCAACCAACTGAATCACCCAGGCGCCCCAGCGTTTATACTTTTAGATAGAGGGAAAAAGCATTACATAAAAATAGTCTTGGTCCTTAGTCTTCTTAATGGTATTGTACTATGTTAATTTCTCAGTGTTGATAAATATACAGGATAGTGTAAGGTGTTAGCATTAGGGGAACTTAACAAAGAATATATGGGAGCTCTCGGTTCTATCTAAGCACTTTTCTGCAAATCTAAACTTATTTCAAAATAAAAAATTTAAAATATAGATTTGGGAAAAACTGAAAGAGTCTGTTTAATTTGAGGTTTGAAGTTAGCGTTTTGAAAAGGTGAGGGGAATTTTCCGGGGGAGGGGTGGGGTGAGGTGGGATTAATTTGCCTCCTCCTTCCTTTGGCTCCTGATAACCTATTGCTTTGAGCTGAAGAAGAATGTGATATAGATGACACATCAGTTGAATAAAATAAGGGTTTATACCAGAGACAAGTCAGTTGTGTGGATGATACACAGAACTGCTCTTTGATTTGGGTTAACAGTCATTAGTTAAAAGATCCACTGGAAGCCACCAGGGCGGGGAGGGGGGCGGTTGGGGAGGGTAGAGAGTCCGGAATGGGGATGTGCAGAGCCCTGCCTTACGCATCACTTCCTCCCACCCTAGATGCCTTCATGATACTGTTTGGTTCTCTAGATGCTTTGTGCCATGCATTGCTCCTGGTTATTTCAAAATGAGACATCACTGTTAATGTGCTTTCCAGCTTCCCCTCTGGGTTGCAATTACTCCAAGCTCAGTTTGCCTGAAAGCAGGAGTTGGTTTCCTTTCCACTCCTGTGCTCATTCCCTCTTTGAAGCCTCAGCCCCTGCTTGGTACATCACAGTCCGACTCTAAGGAAACCAACTGTGAGAACACGGAGCACACCTTAGCAGGCCGGCAGTTAGGACTTCAAGGCGACCCTGGTTCCTGTCTTCCACACGTGTGACCGGTCAGTCGCACACATCCAGCATTCATCCATGAAAAGAATTTTCAAGAGCTAAATTGTTAAGTTATATAGGAGGCTCTTTGAAATTAAAATGTCATCGTGCTCCAAGCTGAGGCTTGCAGCATCCTGGCATCTGGAGTTAATCACTTCGTCCCTTGAGAGTTGTTCTAATGAAATGTTTACTGAGCTCTAGCGAATGTTCAACTGAGTGCTTTGCCAGGATCTGGCTTCCGATAATTTTGTTTCTTCATACAGAGAAGCCCAGCTCAGTAAAAGAGAGCTTCCGCTACGCGAACCTTACATGCAGCTCCAGCAAGCAAGTCCCGGGAGCCCCTGGCCGCCCCAGCGCCACTAAGGAAATGTTTATCACTGTTGAGTTTGAACTTGAAACTAACCAAAAGGAGGTGACAGGTTGGTTTGAAAACAGTCTTTGGTGCCAGGCTTCTCACAGCTTGCTCCTTATTCCTTTGCCTTTCACTTTTCGTCATTCTTGGGGCGGGGGAGAAGATAATGCAACCACCGAAGTATCTCCTGTTTTTTTTTGTTTGTTTGTTTTTTCACTCCTAAACTAAACTGAATTGGTTTGGAACCTCATGGTTTTATCTGTTTCATAAAAACTCAGATTCCATTTTGGCCAACCAATTTCTGTTTGAGTCAAATGCTGCCCAGTCTGTGAGGTGCCCAGCCCCAGGTCTCCCCCCATTCTGTCCCCAGGGAACTGTGGGTGTTGGTGGGTCCCGCAGTGGGTCTGGACACCCTCACATGCGGCAGCCTGACCTCCTCCCCCACGGTGATCCCTCTTGTTTCGGTAGCGTCTTGTGACCTGAGCTGCGTCGTCAAGCGAACAGAGAAGCGGCTCCGGAAAGCCATCCGTGCGCTCCGGAAGGCTGCCAACAGGGAACAGTTTTACCTCCAGCTCTCAGGCATGGACCTGGAAGCGACAAAGACGTCTCCCAGAACATCTGAACACCGAGGGCGGTCCTGTGGAGTGGGCCAGGGCCACGCAGGAAACCGATGCGGTGAGTGACCTGCTGGCTGGGACATTCTTGCTACCGGAATTGTCTTGAGCTCTGTAAAGACTCGGGGTCACCAAAAGTGTGGCCCATTCTCTCTGTCTGGGCTCACTCCAGAGAACACCGTGGACACCCACTGTCATTTGGGAACTACATGTTGGGGTCTGTTGTGTCTGCTGGACCGGGAGCTCTCCAGCGCCTGGCATAGTGTCTGGCTTGTGGTGGGCACTTAATAAATGTTTGCCAAATTGAAGAATGGAGAGGAACAGTAAGGTGATGAGAAGAGGGAGTGCTGACCTTAAAGGGTCTGGTGGACGGTGATCTTCAGAGCACTGTGGCTCCGGGCAGGGACAGGCCTGTAGGTGCGAGGCACCCATGAGCCTCCTGCACGCCCCACTGTCAGTTCCCGTCATCTTCCTCTGGCCCAGCTGATGGCAGCCATGAACAGTCTCCTGTCCATAGCTTCGTGCGGTGGCAAGTCTGGGGGGCCGCTTGGCAGCCGTATGAGATCCCTGAGCTTCAGCCCAAGACTCCTAGTAGTGACAGTTCCATATATGGTCTGTGTGCGTTTGTGTGTGTGTGTTTCAGAATTAAGTTTGGAGACCCGGCATTTGAACAACACCAATTCATGAAGTTCTAGGCGAGAGGAACCTGGGCAAGAGGTTCTAGGGTGGTCGGTGTTGAGATTTGTTTGTTGGGTGAAACTGTTCTGGGCATTTATGGGAGATTCTGCCTTTGTAGGTAATCCCTTTATAGTCTCACTTTATGAAAATCATGGTAATGCTTTCTTGAGTTTTCCTCTGACCCAAGTACAACGTTAAGACGGTGTCTGCATTATCCCATTCACCCTGAATGGTCACCTTACCAGGTTGCAGTCATTATCTCCACCCAGCAGATGAACAAAGCGGAGCTCAGAGGGCTGGGTTCTTTTGCTCTAGATCACATTGACGGTCTGACTCCAAAGCCTATGCTCTGGTCCCAAATAAAGTGTGTTTTGATAACCAGACCCCTCCAGAATAAATTGACGTCCTTTCTCAAGTGTCATTAGAAGGCCCTAGAAGTGAGGCTTGAGCTAAGGAGTAATAAGCCAGTGTTTCTGAAGAAGCAAAGCTAAGCCCAAGGCACTCATTAAGGAGAATTGTCAGCAATAATCCCCCAGCCCAAATCTATTGTTTTGCCAAAACGTAGTAAAACTCAAGTGTAAAATCAAGTGTAATTGTCCACGAGGGGCTGGTTCTCAAATAGTCTTGACTTTTATTCTAGCTGACTCTCTTAAAAAGAAAAAAAAATAGTTAGAAACAACCCAGCTGGTTGGTTTGTTCTCATTTAAAATTCTAAGAGTTCCAGTTTCCATACCAAAATGGTGATGAGAGTTGGCTGTTGCTGACCTACTTTAGAGGGTGATTTGCAGAAACTGTCAGGGACAGGAAGGCCAGTATTCCTGCTGGCCTCTCAGAGCTAAACTGCGGTCCCTTTCCCCATTTGCTATCCTGTTAGGGAGAGGCCTTGCAGCCTTGCCAGGGAGCCTCTGTGGCCAGTTAAGAAATCAGGCAAAACTAGAGTATTACCAATACTACCATGACTGTGCTCCTGGGAAAAAGGCCCAGGAATGAGGATCAGGAGTTACTTAACAGAGGCCTCATGACCATGACAGCTTATGAAAGACACTGTGGCTGTTGTGTGTGTAAATGTGTCCTGAGATGCTTGTCATGCTAAGTTAGGTTGGATTTGTTGCTGAGAGGCAATGTGTCTTGTCTCAAGAGTTCCCTCTAGCAATGGATGACTTTTGTAAGCCTACATGGAACCAAATCAGGTTCACCCTGTCTGATAGCAATGTTGAAGATTTTACCATCTAGAGAAAACAGCACAAAGAATTACCAGTGAAATTTCTTCCTCCTGCTGAAGGGAGGAAGTGTGTATAAGGATGGGTTGCATGTGTTAATTAGAAAGATGGGGTAACTGGGTGATGGGTGTTAAGGAGGGCACGTGATGTGATGTGCACTGGGTATTATACACAACTAATGAATCATTGAACACTACATCAAAAATTAGTGATGTACTATATGTTGGCTAATTGAATTTAAATTAAAAAAAAGAAGAAAGTTGCATTCTACACAGAGAAAGAAAGAAAGAAAGAAAGAAAGAAAAAAAAGAAAGAGAGAAAGAGAAAAAGAAAGAAAGAAAGAAAGAAAGAAAGAAAGAAAGAAAGAAAGAAAGAAAGAAAGAAAGAAAGAAAGAAAGAAAGAAAGAAAGAAAGAAAGAAAGAAAAAGAAAAGAAAAGAAAGGCTTTTTACCCAGAGGACTCATGGTGTGGGCTAGGGAGTGAGTAAGTGTGCTGGAGCAGAGAGTGTGTCTTATGTTCCTTATATTCCTGGACTATTTGCTGGTCTTAGAACTTCATAAAGACCAAGTTTACTGATATTTTCTGCGCTCTGGGTGGTACATAGAGTGGAGACATGCCTAGGATAGTTCTTTTTGAAAATTATTTTCAGTGTTGGTCAAAAGGAGCCCCCAAAAGCATTTGGAGTCACTGAAGGGCAGATGGAACCATTACATTTTTCCTTTAAAATATTTCTTACTTCATTTCCAGGTACCAAAATAGTGTACGTTTCCAGTGGTACAGAAACGTATATAGTAAGGGTAAAAGTTCTTACTCTTTCAGGAAGAATCAGTGGGTTGCTATGTATTTTTCTACATCGGTTTTCATGCACATATAAAAATGAAATTTTATTTATCCATTCAACAAATATTTATTGAGCACCTACAGTGTGCTAGGTACTATTCCAGGTGCTGGGAATGCAGTAATGAAACAAAAAGGTAAAAATCTTAGGAGGAGGGAGCCAGATCACAAACCAATAAAGAAGGAAGTATATCGTGTAGCCAGTGGTGGTAAGGGTATGTGAAGGGTAAGCAGGGCAGGGGAATAGAATGTGGCAGGGGAGGGGGATGGCTGAGGAGGAACATACTCTCCCCCGCCCCCCTGCAAAGGTAGAGACTGTGGTTGTTACAGAGTCATTTGGACAGAGTCCCAGCTGAAGGATGCAGCAAGTACCCAAAACCCTGGGGCAAGGGGAAGGCCAGAAAGATAACTGCAGGAGAGAGGGAAGAGGGAGGAGCTCAGAGCAGTAGCCAGGGGCCAGATCATGTGGGAATGGCAAGCCAGGGGAGGACTCTTGACTCTGAACCAGTGAGAAACAAAGCCAGTGAAAAGTTTGAGCAGAGGGGCAACAGGGTTTCTGACTTACGCCTTAAAAGAATAACTTTGACAGCTATCGGCTTATGTATGAACAAACCATATTTTAAAAACATACATCAATATATGGGGTGCCTGGGTGGCCCAGTCGGTTAAGTGTCTAACCCTTGATTTCGGCTCAGGTCATGATCTCAGGGTTGTGAGATCGAGCCCTGTACTGGTCTTCACACTGGGCCTGGAGTCTGCTTGGGATTCTCCCTCTGCCCTTCCACCCACCTTAAAAAAATATATATCAATACAATTTGAATAGTGCTGGGTTGTTTCTAAGGATAGAGTAGATCACGGGCATCCGTCTGTGCTAATAGAGGAATTACCTTATTTCTTTTAAAGCTTCCTAGTCTGTATTTGTTCTAAGACACCAGTATTTATTAACTATACCCCTGTTGGTGAACATTTCTAATTTTTTAACTACAAACAATGCTGCACAAAGATTCTTTTTTGCACACGTGGCCAACATGTTTGAAATGTCTTAAAAGTCCGCTTATTGGGTCAAGACATGCAGACTTAAAACTTTAATAGACACTGCCAAATTATCCTCCAAAAAGACCATGCCTCTATAGACTCCCTCCAGCCTTGTAGCTGAGTGCTCATTGTCCCACATCATTGCTAACATGGGTTGTTTGTCATTGATATTTTTAATTTTTGCAAATCTACTAAGCAAAAATGATAGTCAAATGTTAACTTGTTTTTCTTAGATTATTTAGTAAAATGGAGTATGCTGTCATAAGCCTGTGGCCATTTGGATTTCTTCTGAGAATATCCACATTCTCTGCCTATTTTTCCACTGAATTGTTTATTTTTCCAATATCACTTAAAAAATAAATTTTAAAGTCCCAAGTCATCAAAGAACATAATCACTTCTGACCAATTAAACACTGTCTTTATTATAGTCATTTTTGCATAGAAAAGTCTCATTCATTTGGCATGTAAGGACTTTGGGGACAGCCTGCTGCAGGTGAACTTTGTACCATCTGTGATCAATTCTAGCAAGATGGCAAAAAAAAAAAAATAGTGATTATATTCTCAGAGGAACAAATTCCTCAAGCTCCATAGTTAATTCATAAAGTCTTTTATACCTAAAGAAAAATTAATGATGACATAGGTTTGTATATATCTTTCATAGCTATTTATCCCTTCATAAAGGATAAATTATTTAAGGAATATACTTGCCTAAATATATATTTTTGTATTTGATTATTCTTAAAACTTGCTGAAATTTTTAGAAGACACAATCCAGGCAACTGGCAAACTGGGAAGTATTTTGTGCCTGGGTTCTTGAGAGAGACTGGGAAGGTTTACTTCAACTTTCAAGAGCAGTAGCTTTCCTCTGCAGCGTTGAGAAAAATTAATTCAACCCGTATATATTCAGATATCACTCTGTGCCACTCTGAACTTGGGATGAAGCAGTGAGAACATAATGGGTGAGGAGCTTGCTCTTATGAAGTTCGCTTTCTTACAGAAGGACATGGACAACTAAAAAGTAAAGAAAAAGGTAATTTCAGAAGTTATAAGTACTACGAAGATAAAAATACGGAGAAGGACCAAGGGGAGGAGGGATTACTTTCCATAGGTGTTAAGGAAGGCTTTCAGAACAGGTGACATTTGATCTAAGTGAGAAGGAGCTGATCTTGTAAAGCTCTGATGGGGGCAGAGGGTGTTCTGGCTGTGGAGAGATCAGCAGGTGCAAATGGCCTGAGGCAGGAATGAGCCAGGCATTTTCGTCTTAATTTTTTCAGAATTGAGAAATTATTTG